TAAGGCTTAGGGTTTAAGGTTTATTGCTTAAAGGTTTAGGGCTTAAGGTTTAGGGTTTATAAGCATTGGTTCACCAATAGTAAGCCAATAAACCTCGAGATTTTCGTAAAAAAAAAACTTGCCCACAAGAGACACCTCCAGTACTAAAGTTTGTATACAAAAATCGATTTTGGATCCAACCTGGGGGACTCTCTCTATGCATCTATGCATTGGACTGTTTGACTCTATGTACTTGACTCTATGCGCTGGACTATGCACTTGACTCTATGCACTTCATTGTATGCAGTTGACTTCATGTACATGCACTGATTCGAGAGCTCTGACAACATGGAGTGAAGTACGCAGAGTGAAGTACATAGAGTGAAATATATAAAGTTAAGTACGTCGATCTCGGCATCATTACGTACTTGATGACTATATGCACTTCACTCTCTGACTCTATGATTCTATGCACCGGATTCTATAACGTAGCGCAAAACTCTTCGCTAATGATGCTTTCGGGCTAATTGTCTTCTAATTTTATAGAGGTTTTGTCCCGGCCGCCCAAATCCGTCTTCACTGGACGTGTATGTCTTGCTCCGGGTGGCCGGACAAACTACACGGCCCGCTGGCGGCTGCCATCCGCGGTGTTAGAATTTCGTTTTTGCAAGAGATCTTCCTGGTCCCTTACGCCGGTATCGTGCTAGTCGGCGATCACATGTGCCTTCGCGCGGCTTGTAGTGAATCCCCAGCACCCCGAGATCTTTTGCCGGCACAGCAATCCGCAGGAGAGCGTGCTTCAGTTGTCTTCCGTGTCGGCCGATTTGGCTACGGCGCCGAATGCGATTCAAGCCGAAGGACTAGAGACAATCAGTGGGGTTGAATTAAATCTTGCACTGATTTCCTCACGAGCCTCATGACGGAGTTGTAGCTGTTGATCACCACCGTTGCGACAGCATCCTGCTCCAGAGTGCCTTCCGTTTCCTGCTCACAGCCAAACAAACAGCTGGGCTGGATCGAACGTTCTGTCGGCGCACTGTTGGTACCATGCATTCTGTGGTGAAAGAAGTCGATGAGCGAGAATTTCAATTGGACCACATGGATCCTAACCCCTCGACCAAGTCTGCTCTGGCAATCCTTTCGTCGCTTCAAAATTTGGGTTTCTGTGCACCGCTGTTTTTGTTCGTTTTTGTGATTACCAAGGGACTGAGCAGAAGCTGTCGACAAAGCCCGCACAAGCCCAAATTCTCCCGTCCACTGAGGGGAAGGGGGTACCAAGCCCCCGTACCGCGTGAAGCTCATTACAGTTCAAGATCAAAGCGGGCTTACCAGGTGAGGTTTTCGGAAGAGTTCGACGGCTCTTGTCCCTGACTTTCCTGTGGGAGTCAGAGTTCAAGCCAACAGGGCATGTTTGTGCAGCATGTTAGCACGTATTGCATTGCGCAGAACAAATAATGTGGAAAGGGACAGGGAAGAAGCGGGATATGCAAGATCCTTTCGAAAACTGTGGGTTTTCATATCAAACCAAGCGGACAAGTGGAAATCCCCATGGTGGGCCCCATTCCTCTTTTTCCCGATCTGGGAGAAGCACATTTTTGTTTTCCCACAGCAAAAACAGAAATATAAAATGCTGCAGAATGTTTGTGCAACTGTTGGTCTCCGGGTCTTTTGTTCTCGTAATTTGTGTTTCTCAACCCAGGCCGCAAAGCAAAGTACGTTTCGTACGCTGAGACTGCACGGCGCATCTTCCCTTTTCGGTGTTTTCCACGAAGGCCACTTTTTGTTTGCCTGAGAGTACTTTTCATTGCCGACCCAACAAATTACAATGGTGCGCGCACACATCCTGAGCTTTCCGCAACGCCGGTCCAAAAAAATTGTCCACCCACCTTGGCCTTACCAGATTGCAAACCGCAGGCGGTTGTTGCAAGTGGAGAATCGTCCATATCTGCATCTATTGCTCCCGCCGCCTTGCATCGGCTGGGAGATCGCTGTATGTTTGATCAAGCGCAGTCGGCGAAGATGCAGGCATTTACACGTATGGTCGTCCAATTTCACGCTACTGAACATTCAGGATTGCTTACACGAGCCAAGCAGTGGATGCGGCCCTGATGCGCCATTCAGATTTCAGCAGAGAACATGGGGTCTGGGGCCAAGCTGCAGCGATGGTAATTGTGTTATATTGTGTTGTTTTTGTTTGCTCAGTGTGCAGATGTTCCTTACGAAAATCTCGGTTCGATTCGTGCTGGAATATTCAGGTACCTTCGAACTTTATGGCCGTCTAGCTTCGCTTTGACCGACATCAAGGCAGCAGTGCTTGGACTTGGGGGCGCAGATGCATGTGTATTTGCATTTCGTTGAAGCAATCGACCATATCGGCAAGTCCGCAGGTACAGCGGCCTTCCAAAAGCAGCATTCCAGTGGACATCACGGTCCTGATCAAGAAGGACTTTATGTGGAACGGGTTGGCCAGCTTTGTGCGTTTGTAACACCGCCCACCTATCAACTTGACTGCACAGCTCAACTTCTTCAAGTGTTTTTCGCCATGCAACAATCGCAATATTTATTCAATAGACTTTCCCAAACACTTGCCGACAAGCTATGCTGTGCAAGAGGCACGTAGACTTTTGACGATTTTTTGTCAATGCTGTGACCAGCAACAAATTATCCGAAAATTCGCGTAATCTATTGCAGCTCGTGGCTGATTGTAGTTCTTGTAAAACTGGGCGCCCAGAGTGCCTTGTCAGTACGATTTCGTGAAAATTCTTGCGTCATGAAAGTTCACAAGAGTTTTGTCGCTACACACACACACACAGACACACACACACACACACATGGTCCCGTGATTCATGCATCTTTGTTCGATTGCAACCTGGTACTTCCCACAAGGCACCCCTGGCAGCCCCTGGTGGGCAAACGTCTGTGATGGCGCCGCCCCCGATGCCAGGATCGCCAGGCCAACCAGCTTTTCAACTCCATGTCAAGTAGAGTTTTATTGGGACCAGGATTTCGGAGGGTGCATGGCGCTCTTCAGGGTGGGGAGAGTCACAGCAGGGCAGGGGCACTCGTTTCGGCCATCAGCTGGGCAGGTACCGTTCCACCGTTGCAAGCAACAGCTCAGCCAGTGCCATCCCCGAAGACCCAGGCGCCGATTGAGCGAGATTCCTGAATCTTATGGCTTTTGTGTGGATTTCGATGTTACGGACCAGGCGGTGATTCCTTTGCTGGCGTCCGTCGCTTACGGCATCTTTTGATGTCGGCCGGGGTGTCGCCGGTGTCATCTGCATCGACGGAAGTTCACTCCCAGCTCTAAGACATTCTAAGACAGCTTGGTTGCCTGCTCTGCGGAGGTTGGCTTCTGGTGAAACATCGAGAAGATCCTTCGACAGAGCCTAGGATGCAGAGTGTGCGAATGCCAGCTCGAAAGGGAGGAAGCGGACCCGGTGCTGGCTCCCATCAGATTGCACTGTATTGCTCCGCCGGAACTCATTCAAAGTAAGTCAGAGGAAAGCTTCTTTGTCCGTTGGTGGATGGGGGGGAAGCATGGGACTCTGGCCGAGGACAGCGATCCAAGCAGGCAGCTTGCTACGGGATTTTGAGAATCTTGAGCCATACGTCCGCATGTTTCGGTCGGAAATAGCGATGTTAAGCGCTGCATTCCGCTGCTGCCACCTCGTCAGGTCCTCCAGTTCCTTTGATCTGCAGGGCGCCCCACTAGCTTTGACGCCCCAGAGACGCCAAGACGAAGTCCAAGAAGTCCGCGCAGCAGTGGAGGACGGCCCAGTGCCGGAGAATCCTCCTGCGCATACCAAGCACCGATTTAGAGATCCCTCCTTTCAAGGTTGTGCAAAAATGAGGTCATGTTACGTCGGTTGTAGACTCGGGTGTTAGATCTCGCAGTGGCCCCCCTCAGGACACCAAGGGCGATCCTGGCATCCCGCCTCTGCAACAAGCCTCGAGACGCGGAAGAAAGTGCAGCTCCTTTGCTATTCATCCATGCAGCCGGCATTCATTGCTTTTGTGACGCTCACATCTGAATCCAGCCTCAAGAAGCAGGAGTCGTTTTCGGAGCCACTCCATGCTTCCTCTGGTCGCTTGTTATCTCGGCTCCGCCGCAAGGAAGGTTTGGTTCGAGTTCTGGTTCTACACTCCAACAACATGAGGTTTCAAGGGTGAAGGGTGAAGGGAGAGGAGGGAGATTAAAGGCCACAGCGAACAGCGAGAGTTCTTGCGCTTACTGCTCCTGGCCTCAAGGCAGTAGGTTCCAGGCTTTCGATCCCCATTGCCCCTCAGCAGCAGCGTGCAGCTGGCGTGAGATATGGCTGCTGGCGCGGAGTGGCGAGGGTCCCGGGGTTTCAAAAGCATGTCTGCATTCGAAGCCAGATGCCCGGTGCCAATGTTCGAGGCATATAGCGGGCACTTGGCTGATTGAGTGTTTTAAAATTCGGCACCCTTTAAGGAAACCCGGGCTTCACCTTTACGGGGGAGTATTTGCTATTGCGACACATTCGGATGGCAGTTGACCTGATTGCGAAGCCGTGGAAATTGCGGTCTCTTGCTGTCTGGTTCTTTCGTGTCGACCCTTGTCTGACAATTTTTGAGCTCCGCTCAGGTTCTGTTTGTCCGCTGTTTCCTTTCACAGTCGCGCAGTGTTTTGTTGCTCCTGTGGTGTCGTGTGCTGTCCGGTTTCCAGCCATCTGCTCTGCAATGTTCTAACCACTTGTCACTTATGTCTATTTCGGAGAATCCCCTTTGGCCCCAGCTGCCGTGAGCCAAAAGCTTTCTGGGCCTTGCAGACTCTCCAGGTCTGGTGAGTCTGGTCCAGATCGCTCTTCGGCTTCCGAGGCGGCCGGACGGCGAGGTCCACTGCACCAGGGACAGCGGCCAGCATCTGCGAGGGAAATCTCGGCATTTAGTCTGGACGTATCTTGCTTGCCTGACACGTCACTTTGCACCCAGCCATTCGGCTAAAGTCCTACCGAACCGTCTTATTTCCGGCCTGGCTTGGTGCCGAAGGCACAAGCATGGTGCTTGCCCCCTTCCTCGTGCTGTTCTCATTCGTGCAGCATGTGGTTAATGCAGAGGAGCTGCAGCTGCCGCAGCAAGTCTTCGAGAGAGAGGCACCGCCCGCATTCCTGAGTCTGTCCGACGGCGGCGTCGATTCCTGCACGACGGACAATGTCTGCCAGGAGATCTGCGAGACGGACTTCATGGTGTACCCGCTAGGGGACAAGTGCTTCGAGTACTGCCACGAAGACATCCACTACATCTGGGATGTTTTCGACAAGTACTGCGGGGAAGGCCTCCATGATGAGCATCATTTCTGCGCAGATCTCTGCTACGACGGCTTCTACTGCGGGGATTCTACATGTGGACCGTGTGAAGACAAGTGCGTGGAAGCGTTTGGATTGGTCCATGATATTTTCGACACCTGTGCCGACTGCGACGACATTGGGGATGACTACGACGACGACTACTACAAGACCACGACGACCACTACTTTCGACAAGTGTACCAGTTATGGTGCTGACAGGTGCTATGACCTGGAGTGCTGGTGCCATGACATCTGCGACATCATCAAGTGCCCCCATTGCGAGGAGCTTTGCTACAAGAACGAGGACAGGGTTTGGCCCATCTTCGAGCGCTACTGCGAGTGCGGCTTCTGCAACGAGGCAGACGGAGAGCATGCCGGCTTGTTGCAGTTCCGGGTTCACAGTGCTGCTTCGTCTGAGTCGACGTGCGGCTGCCGAAGTGAGCACCAGTACTGCATCGATATCTGCCATGGCCTTGGTTATGGTGGAGAGGGGCTGGCACGCTGCACGGAGGATTGCTACTCAAGTGGAAAGCTCGAAGGAATCTTGGAAGATTACTGCCACGAGTGCCACGAGGACGACTACGAGACAACCACCAAGTCCGAAACGACCACAACGACCACAACGACGACGACCACAACGCCCGAGCCTTACGAGACGACCACAAAACCATATGAAACGACCAGGCCACCCTACGAGACGACCAGGCCGCCTTACGAGACGACCAGGCCACCCTACGAGACGACCAGGCCGCCCTACGAGACGACCAGGCCGCCCTACGAGACGACCAGGCCGCCTTACGAGACGACCAGGCCGCCCTACGAGACGACCAGGCCGCCTTACGAGACAACCAGGCCACCCTACGAGACGACCAGGCCGCCCTACGAGACCACTCGGCCCTATTACCCCCCTGCTCCAGAGCCGTACCCTGTTCCAGGGCCGTACCCTGCTCCAGACTACTACCCGGCTCCAGATGTGCCATACTACTGGAAGATCAAGGCGGCAAAGGCCAAGATCAACTACAACAACCAGAAGTACAAGGCCATCGCAAAGGCAGAGTCCTTCAAGGCAAGGCACGCAGATTACTTCGGCAAGTATCCCAAGAAGGACGTTCCATGGGAGTGGAAGGTGAAGGCAGCCAAGGCCAAAGCCTACTACGAAGGGAAGAAGTACCAGGCCGAGGCAGCGGCAGCAGCTTTCAAGTGGAAGCACCCAGAGATCTTCGGCAAACACTACCGGTAGTGACTAAGCCAGCAAGACTTTTCCTGCCAAGCAGCACTAATGATCCAGCTTTCTGAAATGGGCTGGAGTTTTAAGACAGGTAGAAGGTGCAATGCCACACCCTCACCGGTTTTTGTTTCGGGTAAAGTGCGAAGAGATCCTCTGCGACGTTGCACACGACTGTATTCTTGTCAGTATTTCAAGGCTTTCTTGGCCAAAGAGTTTGTAACAGCTGAAACAAACACTATCGTGTAACGGGAGTAGAACAGAATGGCCAGAGCTGTGCAGCGAGAGCTTCGCTTGATGCCCGGCCCCCGAGCCTCCCTCCAAAGGATGTTTTCGGCGATAGGGGCAAGATTGCTGAGATTCCGGATTTACGGAATGCAGAAAAGGAGAGAGTTGCACTGCCTTCGGATGTTATCAGGTGCAGGGATCGATTTCTTCCTGTGTGCGTGCAGACCACTCGAGCTGTCAAGTTGCCTGCAAGACCGCCTCAGTTTGCTCAGCCATTCGGCTAAAGTCCTACCGAACCGTCTTATTTCCGGCCTGGCTTGGTGCCGAAGGCACAAGCATGGTGCTTGCCCCCTTCCTCGTGCTGTTCTCATGCGTGCAGCATGTGGTTAATGCAGAGGAGCTGCAGCTGCCGCAGCAAGTCTTCGAGAGAGAGGCACCGCCCGCATTCCTGAGTCTGTCCGACGGCGGCGTCGATTCCTGCACGACGGACAACGTTTGCCAGGAGATCTGCGAGACGGACTTCATGGTGTACCCGCTAGGGGACAAGTGCTACGAGTACTGCCACAAAGACATCCACTACATCTGGGATGTTTTTGACAAGTACTGCGGGGAAGGCCTCCATGATGAGCATCATTTCTGCGCAGATCTCTGCTACGACGGCTTCTACTGCGGGGATTCTACATGTGGACCGTGTGAAGACAAGTGCGTGGAAGCGTTTGGCTTGGTTCATCAGATCTTCGACTACTGTGCCGACTGCGATGACTTCGGGGATGACTACGACGACGACTACTACAAGACCACGACGACCACGACAACTGCGGACCGGTGCGACAACCTGGATTGCTGGTGCCATGACATCTGTGACATTGTGAAATGCCCCCACTGCGAGGAGCTTTGCCACAAGAATCAAGACAGGGTGTGGCCCATCTTCGAGCGCTACTGCGAGTGCGGCTTCTGCCACGAGGCAGACAGAGAGGACGCCGGCTTGTTGCAGTTCCGGGTTCACAGTGCTGCTTCGTCTGAGTCGACGTGCGGCTGCCGAAGTGAGCACCAGTACTGCATCGATATCTGCCATGGCCTTGGTTATGGTGGAGAGGGGCTGGCACGCTGCACGGAGGATTGCTACTCAAGTGGAAAGCTCGAAGGAATCTTGGAAGATTACTGCCACGAGTGCCACGACGAGTACTACCATCACGATGACAAGGATGACTACCACGGGGACGACCACCACGGAGACGACTACCACAAGGATGACTATCACAAGGACGACTACCACAAGGACGACTACAAGACCACGACCAAGTCGGAGCAGAGCACAACCACTTCCAAGACGACCACAACGACCACAACCACCACAACGACCACAACACCCGAGCCTTATGAGACGACCACAAAACCATATGAAACGACCAGGCCGCCTTACGAGACGACCAGGCCACCCTACGAAACGACCAGGCCGCCCTACGAGACGACCAGGCCGCCTTACGAGACGACCAGGCCACCCTACGAGACGACCAGGCCGCCCTACGAGACCACCAGGCCACCCTACGAGACGACAAGGCCTCCTTATGAGACGACTCGGCCGTACCATCCCCCTGCTCCAGAGCCATACCCCGCTCCAGAGCCCTATTACCCGGCTCCAGACCCATACCCTGCTCCAGACCCATACCCTGCTCCAGAGCCATATCCTGCTCCAGAGCCATACCCTGCTCCAGGGCCGTACCCTGCTCCAGACTACTACCCGGCTCCAGATGTGCCATACTACTGGAAGATCAAGGCGGCCAAGGCCAAGATCAACTACAACAACCAGAAGTACAAGGCCATCGCAAAGGCAGAGTCCTTCAAGGCAAGGCACGCAGATTACTTCGGCAAGTATCCCAAGAAGGACGTTCCATGGGAGTGGAAGGTGAAGGCAGCCAAGGCCAAAGCCTACTACGAAGGGAAGAAGTACCAGGCCGAGGCAGCGGCAGCAGCTTTCAAGTGGAAGCACCCGGAGATCTTCGGCAAACACTACTGAGGCCCGGCTTTCGACTCGGTGACTGAGCCCAGACCAGGTAGGGCCTTTTAATGATTATGCGGAGATGTGCAGCACATTGTGCACAGAGTTCTCCGCACTTTTCTTAAGGTTTTGAGGGTGGCGAACTTGAATGACGGCTTTGAGTGCCGAGAATCAAACCAGATGCAATGGCTGCTTCATGTTAAGATGAGTTTCTTGCCAAAAGCTTCCGGATTCTTGTGCGCTGCCTGGTCCAGCGCTTGCTGCACCTCCAAACGGAGATGGGGCCAGCGCGACGTTGGTAGTGGTGTGACCGCTTAGTGCGCGACAAAGACTAAGCATTGCGGCGATATGTGATCAAGATCTGTTTTGATAGCTTCAAGCCGATGCAGACTGACAAACGACAGGCACCAGCCTTGCAGCTGACCCACGACGTCCTTGCTTCCAACGAAAGGTGGGGCCTGCACAAGTTTCAGGGTGGTGCGAAAGAGCCGAGCCTGACAGACATTAACTTTCCAAATATGCACGTGCCGAGTCTGACATGCAATGCCACGCTGTCCCTCTGCATAGATATCATCCCATCACTTTTTCAGTATATCTTTGGTGCAGAGAACCTTCAACTTGTTGTCCTCCGGCAGGACTCAGGAACCTGTCCCTGAGACTCGCCCGTGCACGAGTAGGGGCAAGCGGCAAAACAGAGCTTCGCAATCTTTGCAAAGTCAGTCTTCTGCGGGTTCTGCAGGTTTACACAGGCTTGTGTTCACGGTGTGTTTTTGAATCTGTGGTGTGGTGCCAGAGCTTCTTGCAAAGGCTTTTGCTGCGTCAGAGAGGTTTGTTGCGAGAAGTTCCATTCCTGGCCCGGCCTCTGAGTCCGTGTGAGAACGCTGAGCTCGAATCATGCATGTGTCTTTCTTGTTGCCGCAGCTTTGCGCTCAGCCAATTTTATGCACATTTGTTGACAGTATGCCTCCACGCGAGGAAGGCCGACTCAGATGTGACTTTAGGATTGTGAGTTCGAGGCTTTGGTTCAAGCTCAAGATCGCATAAACAGCAAACCCCAATCACGTGATTCAGGATGCAGGGGTTCACATGGGGCGTAGCATGTTGTGGGGCCCACTCGCCCCCCACACTCCTCCCTTGCAAAACCAAGCTTCAATTGGAGAGGCCGGTGGCGGCTGCTGAACCCCCTCAACATCCGCTTCTCACAGCCTCGGATCGCCCCGCACTTTCGGGACCTGCCGGAGAGTCAGGGGGGCCACGAAAGTGTGAGCAGTTGCGTGCGTGTGTGTGCACGTGTTAAGTGCGAGTTTAGCGATGCATTGCCGTAGCACCATAAGGAGCGTAGCAATCTCCACCACGAGTTACCGAGTTGACATTTCATCTGAATCCTCAATTTGCGAAAGCTGTGGCTGCCTTGGCCTTACCTCCAAAGCTTGCAACCCCAAAATGCTAGACTGGAAGTCTTGAGGTGTAAGTTGCCCTAAGCCATAACTGAGTCAACCATGTCGGGTCCGGGGTTCGTGACAGGACGGTCACTTGATCAAGGACACCGTGACAGAGGCCCAGTCGTAGGATGCTCCCTGCCCTTGGTCAAGGCTCAAATGCCAGGGTCTGGAGCGGGTTCTTCAATCTCTCTTCAGTGTTCTGAAACCTTGAAAACAAGGCCAGTACCGAAAGAGACCTGAGAATTCTGCTCGCTTGCAGATCATTGAAGATCGGGTGCAGGACGGCTGCGCAGTGCTCAAGTTCAGATTGCTGGGTGGGTGGTTTGTTGGTGGCTCAAGGCGCTGTGAGACAGGTCTTTGGAATGCTGCCGACATCTTTATTCAATCTTCCGCATTGCAAGCAGTCTGCAGTGCAGTGATGGGATCCTTGCGGTATCTGCAGCTAAGCACGATGTCTTTTGACAGAAGCTTCATGATGGAGGCATAGCTTCGGCCAGCAAGCTTGTCCTACACGTATGCGCCGATAAAGTTGAAAATTTCAACGTGGACTGTGCAGGACCCAGCGTACGCCGGAGTTGGCAGCGACGATGCGGCCGAGGGAGTTCCGCACTACGATGCGGTGCGGGCCTCGCAGTTTAAAATACAGAATCTCGGGGAGCAGTTGAGATCTGCAATGGTGGGCCACGGGCTTTGAACTTTAAGGTATGCTCTTCTAGAACTGGAAGTCAAGGCAACGAGGCAGTCTGTTCACATCGTGACTCCAGGTCCTGGTCCCGCCATTTCCCGCGATCCGGGTCATCTCCTGGCTTCCGAAGCTGCGCCGGCCAGACGGCGAGGTCCGCCCCCGGCATCTTCGTACATGGACCGATCCAGTCCAGAAAGTCTCGGCATGCAGTCACGTATCCTGCTTCATTTCACTTTGCACCCAGCCATTCGGCTAAAGTCCTACCGAACCGTCTTATTTCCGGCCTGGCTTGGTGCCGAAGGCACAAGCATGGTGCTTGCCCCCTTCCTCGTGCTGTTCTCATGCGTGCAGCATGTGGTTAATGCAGAGGAGCTGCAGCTGCCGCAGCAAGTCTTCGAGAGAGAGGCACCGCCCGCATTCCTGAGTCTGTCCGACGGCGGCGTCGATTCCTGCACGACGGACAACGTTTGCCAGGAGATCTGCGAGACGGACTTCATGGTGTACCCGCTAGGGGACAAGTGCTACGAGTACTGCCACGAAGACATCCACTACATCTGGGATGTTTTTGACAAGTACTGCGGGGAAGGCCTCCATGATGAGCATCATTTCTGCGCAGATCTCTGCTACGACGGCTTCTACTGCGGGGATTCTACATGTGGACCGTGTGAAGACAAGTGCGTGGAAGCGTTTGGCTTGGTCCATCAGATCTTCGACTACTGTGCCGACTGCGATGACTTCGGGGATGACTACGACGACGACTACTACAAGACCACGACGACCACGACAACTGCGGACCGGTGCGACAACCTGGATTGCTGGTGCCATGACATCTGTGACATTGTGAAATGCCCCCACTGCGAGGAGCTTTGCCACAAGAATCAAGACAGGGTGTGGCCCATCTTCGAGCGCTACTGCGAGTGCGGCTTCTGCCACGAGGCAGACAGAGAGGACGCCGGCTTGTTGCAGTTCCGGGTTCACAGTGCTGCTTCGTCTGAGTCGACGTGCGGCTGCCGAAGTGAGCACCAGTACTGCATCGATATCTGCCATGGCCTTGGTTATGGTGGAGAGGGGCTGGCACGCTGCACGGAGGATTGCTACTCAAGTGGAAAGCTCGAAGGAATCTTGGAAGATTACTGCCACGAGTGCCACGACGAGTACTACCATCACGATGACAAGGATGACTACCACGGGGACGACCACCACGGAGACGACTACCACAAGGATGACTATCACAAGGACGACTACCACAAGGACGACTACAAGACCACGACCAAGTCGGAGCAGAGCACAACCACTTCCAAGACGACCACAACGACCACAACCACCACAACGACCACAACACCCGAGCCTTATGAGACGACCACAAAACCATATGAAACGACCAGGCCGCCTTATGAGACGACCAGGCCACCCTACGAGACGACCAGGCCGCCTTACGAGACGACCAGGCCGCCCTATGAGACGACCAGGCCGCCCTACGAGACCACCAGGCCACCCTACGAGACGACAAGGCCTCCTTACGAGACGACTCGGCCGTACCATCCCCCTGCTCCAGAGCCATACCCCGCTCCAGAGCCCTATTACCCGGCTCCAGACCCGTACCCTGCTCCAGACCCATACCCTGCTCCAGAGCCATATCCTGCTCCAGACCCATACCCTGCTCCAGGGCCGTACCCTGCTCCAGACTACTACCCGGCTCCAGATGTGCCATACTACTGGAAGATCAAGGCGGCCAAGGCCAAGATCAACTACAACAACCAGAAGTACAAGGCCATCGCAAAGGCAGAGTCCTTCAAGGCAAGGCATCCTGATTACTTCGGCAAGTATCCCAAGAAGGACGTTCCATGGGAGTGGAAGGTGAAGGCAGCCAAGGCCAAAGCCTACTACGAAGGGAAGAAGTACCAGGCCGAGGCAGCGGCAGCAGCTTTCAAGTGGAAGCACCCAGAGATCTTCGGCAAACACTACTGAGGCCCGGCTTTCGACTCGGTGACTGAGCCCAGACCAGGTAGGGCCTTTTAATGATTATCTGGAGATATGATGTGCACCATTCGGTGAACATGTTCTTCATTTTGATTTTGAGGGCAGTGAACGTGAAGCTTTGGTTGCTGCTTCACGATATAGTGAGCTCTTTGCAAATGCTTTCCGATTCGCGTACACTGCCTGGCCTAAAGGTGCTGCACTCCTAAAGGAGGTGGTGCTGTAGTGGAGTGGCTGCTCCCTGCATGGCTAAGACTCGTGCTAGACCATGTTTTCAATACGCCAGCTCAGCCTAACCAAGAAGTGCTGCGGCCATGCGGCGGGCTCACGATTTCTCACCTTCGTGCACTCTCAGCAGATTGCTCGTACCGTGCAAGCAGGTGTTGAGTTGAGTCAAAAAGTCTGGCCCTTCCTGGCCGTGCCGTTTGCAACTCACAGGCGGAGCGGGATGCGAACGGAGATCAGCTCCTGGGAAGGCGTGCTTGGCCGTTGCCCCGGAGGGCAGGTCTTGCTTTCTCTGCCTGAACTCTGCAAGTTCGATACAAGTGCGCATGCCAGCAGCACGGTTCAAAAGCGCTGCTCTAGGAGGCTTAGCCATGAGAACAGCTGCCCTCTTTCATGCGCTCCTTTGCGCGGGCGTTTGGCAGCGCTCTGTGCATGCAGACGTTGATGTCGTAGGAGGTTCGAAGCCAAGCTTCCTGGAATTGAAGTCGAGTGTCGTCGATACTTGTAGCACTGGTGCGATCTGCGACCTCATATGCGAGGCGGACTTTGAGGTTTACCCTGCCGACAAGTGTGATCAGTATTGTCACGAAGACATGGACTACATCTGGGATGTTTTTGATTCCTACTGTGGCCATAGTGATAGCGACAGGCACAAGTTCTGCGCGGACTTGTGCTACGACGGCTTCTATTGCGGGGACAGCACCTGCGCACCATGTGAGGAGGTATGCCTGGCGGAGTATGACTTGGTCCACGAGATCTTCGATTACTGTGCCGATTGTGATGACAGGTATGATGACGACTATGATGACCACGATGATGATTACAGTCCCACGACAACGACGACTACCGTGGACCAGTGCTCGGACATTGGATGCTGGTGCACAAAGTGGTGTGACATCGTGAAGTGCCCCCATTGCGAGGAGCTTTGCATCAAGAACGAGGCCAAGGTGTGGCCCATCTTCGAGCGCTACTGCGAGTGCGGCTTCTGTGACCAATCAGACGGAGAGGACGCCGGCTTGTTGCAGTTCCGGGTTCACAGTGTTGCTTCCGACACTGCGTGCGGCTGTCGAAGTGAGCACCAGTACTGCATCGACCTCTGCCATGCCGTGGGCTACCATGGAATCGGTCTGGCACGCTGCACAGAGGACTGCACCTCCAGTGGAAAGCTCGAGGGTCTTCTCGAGGGCTACTGCCACCAATGTCATGCAGAATACTACCACCCGAAGGATGACTACAAGCACGATGATGACAAGCACTGGGACAAGTATCAGAAGGATGACTACCACAAGAAGGATGACTACCACAAGGACGACTACCACAAGGATGACTACCACAAGGATGACTACCACAAGCATGACTACCACAAGGTTGCGGGGCCCGAGCGGTACCAGACGACAACCATCAGGACCACCACGACAACCACCACAAGAACCACCACGACAACCACCACCACCACAACGACGACCACGACACCCAAGTATTACGAAACCACAACACCTACGACCAGGCCACCCTACGAGACGACCAGGCCGCCTTATGAGACGACCAGGCCACCCTACGAGACCACCAGACCGCCCTACGAGACGACCAGGCCACCCTACGAGACGACCAGGCCGTCCTACGAGACCACCAGGCCACCCTACGAGACGACAAGGCCTCCTTATGAGACGACTCGGCCGTACCACCCCCCTACTCCAGAGCCATACCCCGCTCCAGAGCCCTATTACCCGGCTCCAGACCCATACCCTGCTCCAGACCCATACCCTGCTCCAGAGCCATATCCTGCTCCAGACCCATACCCTGCTCCAGGGCCGTACCCTGCTCCAGACTACTACCCGGCTCCAGATGTGCCATACTACTGGAAGATCAAGGCGGCCAAGGCCAAGATCAACTACAACAACCAGAAGTACAAGGCCATCGCAAAGGCAGAGTCCTTCAAGGCAAGGCACGCAGATTACTTCGGCAAGTATCCCAAGAAGGACATTCCGTACTATTGGAAGGTGAAGGCAGCCAAGGCCAAAGCTTATTACGAAGGGAAGAAGTACCAGGCCGAGGCAGCGGCAGCAGCTTTCAAGTGGAAGCACCCGGAGATCTTCGGCAAAAACTACAGATAATGAGGCCTTGAATGCCGCCAGTAGTCGCTTGCAGCCATGCTTTTGAGAGAATGCCGTGTAAAATTTCAACGAATTTTGGAACACTTTTAAAGCAAGGCGCACAAGCGTGTGCTTCTTTCTGTTCACAAATGGAAGCTCCCCGCTGGTTCGACTCCTGAGTCATTTCACTTGAGTGCCTTGTGTCTCCAAACTCACCAGCCGAACGGCCCTCCGAATGGAGGTCCACTATTTCTGGTGAGAGATTCCACCGCGGCACAAGCAGCGGAGTGCTTGTTGTGCCGTTGCCAGCCGGGTATGCTTCTGATTCTCCTCCTTCAGACGAGGAAAGCGTTTTTCGAGACTGGCGTTGACATCTTGGGTTTCTTATTCGTCTTGTCCTTTTGCTTTGTGTTGTTTTCTGTGCGGCGATGCAGACCTGGCATTAATAGTGGCTAGCTGGAAGTCCCGAAGCTCCAGCATCTCGGAGAAAGTTCTGTGTGAAGCGAAATCGAAAGGCCTTCCTGTCTTTGCATGCAACCGCACATGCAATGCCTGTTTCCTGGGCCAGGGCAAGTGAGTGGAGTGTGTTTGGTGGAGTGGAGGCTGAGATATGAGGCTGGTACGCAGTCATAGCTTCGTGGAAGCTGAACAGCATTTGGCAGCTTGGCGAGTCATCCGAGGTTTGCCTTGGACAACAGAAGGCTCTACTCGTTGCAGCAGAAACCTCAGACCTGTCCGTGTGATTGGTTTCACGACATCCAATGGCACAGTGCCAGAGTCCGCACTTCAAGGGAGTCCCGATGTTGCGAGAGGTAGTAGGGTCAACGAAGCGGCGCAAGAGTAGGAGGAGAGCCTGGGGCGGAACTCACCTTCCATGCCCCGAGAACTTGAACGCATGCTCGAAGGGGTCAAACGCGCCAAAGAATCAGAGCGAAGATATGGTGCAAGGGTTGGGTACACCCTTTCTGCGGCGAGGAATCAAACGGCAGGCGAACAATTGCATAACAAACCCTGTAGTTGCGGTCAAACAGAGGCAGGAGGGGCAAGCCTCGCGTCCCATCCAAACAAGTGCCCAGCCGGCCGGGTGGACTGGTAGCAGCGCTCAGCATTGGCTGTTGTCAGGCTTGTTTGCTGCAAACTACGACTGGGGGATCCCGGTGAATTAGCAAGGAGCGGTGGAAGCCAGGATGCTGCAGTTCTACGTGTCCTCCTTGAACTCCGAAGAACCCTCAAACACTCCAAACGTGCCCAGCAGCTTGGGCTTCCAAATTCGACCGAGTCATGCAGCGAAAGACAGAGGCAGCGCTCCAGGGCATGCTGTCGCTGAGCTCCCGACCCAGGTGCGCAGCAGCGAAGCGCTTTCCGCGCCGCTGTTGTGCCTGCACCTCAGGAACCAAGCCTGTGGAGCTTCACGTTACTTCTTCGCAAGCTGGAGATTAGTGGCCTCGGGTGACGGGGGACTGCTTGTGAGGCTATTGCGCACTTCGCACTTTCCTGAATGTTTGGATCGAACTAGTGACGAGTGCCAGCGAAACAGCACTCGCCAACCTTTTATGTTTGCAACTTCATTCAATCTCCAGGCACAGGCTGCTCAGGAACTAAGTTTTGTGGCGCAAGCCGCCATGGGACATGTGGCCGAAGCCAAGGGGTCTTGCGTTCTGAAACAAACATGCTGAACTGAAGCGTTGGTCGGTCATGTTCTCGAATGTCGGGTCGACCCACTGCGGCTCCGCTGAGAGCCGATGGAGATCCCCCCGCATACGGGGACTTTCTTCGTGCCTGCGGCACAGATCGGTAAAACTCAAGGATCCATGGGATGCGTCTAGGACCGTAGTAGAGGTTTACCTTCTGGAGGCTAGGACTCAGTGGACACTGTGCGAGGTCGTAGTACGCTGCATCGAGGACTGCGGGAAGCGACCCTGTCCTTTAGCACTCGGATGGTGCCGATCGTTGGCGGTTTGCTTCCTGCTACTCCCAGAGTTAGCAGAAAGAATCAGACAGTGTGCCGAATAGCCCCGTCTCTTGTATCAGGACGTGCCAGGTGGAGAGAGCATTCGAGAGCTTCGGAAGCTGCGCCCTGAGTTTGCTTGCGCGCTCAGCAGACGGATTCCGGCAAGTGCAAGTCGCGTTCGGAGATGTTCGGAGTTGAGGAGAAGTTTTGGCAAAGTCAAAGGGGTGTGGTCGATGCCGTAGGCAGTTGAGGATCACCTGGTGTGCTAATGTGTGCTACATCTGGCCAATGGACTTGCTAGATCTGGGCCTGAGAAAAGCCGAAGCAGCAGAGGCATGGGCCAAAGACTCACTCTCAAGCCTTCAATGCACGTCTGAACCCTGAACACCTTGCTCTGACTAACCATCAAGTCTGATCTATTTGGTAAGTAGGAAGTGAACGCAAACTGGCAGTTCCTCGCACACGATAACTGCTGATAAGGCTCTACCGGAAGCAAACTGCGAACCTGGAACTGCTTCTCACAGGTTTCGGACCACCACGGAGGGGAGGCATCCATTTGAGTCTTCTTGCTCTGACTTGGAGTGAACTCGGGTTGACGAATTGGCAAGTACAGGGAGCTTCCGGTTCGGTTAGGTTGCAAAGACCCGTTTGATCTGGAGGCACGGTTCTTGGAGCTTCCTGTGTAGAACATCCCAGTGGCAGCGTAGTCGCAACAAACATTGCGTGTGATTTTTCGGGCGTTGGAGTTCGTGCCCAGCCTCAGCTGATGCTCATGATGCTTAGAGGCTTTGAAGTTGAAGGAACAACGCGTCGCCACAGTATCTTGAGGAGCTGAGGCGTGCAACGATCAGCTGATTATCCTCACGGATCCCAGCATCACACCCTGAAAGCCTCCTTGCTTGGGCTGCTAGCTGCCCTAGCTCCGACTTAAACGTTCTGCCCTGTGCGGTCAGGTCCGTGGATGTGGGTGTCAGGGCTGGAGAGTGCCGGCCATTCAGTTGGATACAGGCCTTTGCCTTAGGAAGCCCAATGAAGTGCCTTCGCCCAATGCTGTAATGGAAGCTGCTTAGCACATTAGCCTTCAATGAGGTCGTCCAGCATAACCATTTCTTGAACATGGCTTGCTCTCGCAGGCTGCACCGCCTGGCGCCCACATGGGGCGTGCCATGGAGGTGGAAGGCTTGTACGCAGAGGAGCTGGTTCCCGGCATTGAGTACACCTAATCTTGCAGATGACAGCGTTTCAGTCTGCTTTGAGATTCGCGGCGACCGAGCAGGATTTGTTTGATGCCCTACAATGGGCCCCGCAGGCAGAGTGCTGTGCCGGGCTGTCGAAAAGTCGTTGCGGGTGGCATCATGTTTCGGAGCTCAGGGTGGTGTCGGGTGCAGATGATTGCAGATGAGAGTGATTGATGAATCATTGGAGCCAATCATCTTTTCAGTCTTGCACATCAATCGTGTGCTGGCAAATTGCGACATTACACTTCGCAGGGGCTATGAGCTACAGATGTCAACATGCCAAGGCCCCTTCGGGGGCTCAACTTGACCCTTTGTCAGCTTGGGCAGGCAGTCAAGGCCGCTGCCATGATTGGTCAACAGGAGGAGGATTCTCCAATCTTGCACAGCCCAGATGCTGCCGTGTTTGCACAAGAACCACGAAGCCCGGGCAGTTTGCATTTGCATGGTTGCTGCCCATCCCGTGGCAGGAAAACGAAAGGATGCAGACTACCGAAGGTGCTCGCACCCTTCCGGTCGCGCAGAGGGCTTGCAGCTTCTGAGAATTGCACAGGTGGCCGGGCTCGTTCAGCCTCTAAATTCTAAATCGACCCGATTTGATCATGATTCTTTCTTACTGGTGCAGCTGCTCATTCCTCTGACTGTGCCGCCGCAGACTCAGGGTTTTCACTCTGGAAGACAGCAGAATACAACAAGCAAAGGGGTGCAGGAGCTGGTGCAGATCTTCTTGAGCTCGTGTTTGAACTGACTTGCTCATAACTTCGCGAGCAGAAGTAGTCTCGTTGTGTGTCAGATGTAGTGTGGATCTTTGAGATTGTGCTTTGCAGAGCACTGACCTTTGCAAGATGTTTTCCGAGATCGTCCGCGCCTCGGGAGTGTGTTGTGCTGTCGTGATTCGGGTGCTGTTTGGAGATGTTTGCCCCAGGGTGGTTTCATGCTATCGTGCTGACTTCTGCTCATTCGCGAAGCCTAAGCCATATGGGCTCGAGCCTGGCGAGTGCAGCATGGAAACCGACAGGCCTCGCTCTTACTCCAGGACTTCCAGAAGAAAACGCAGGCGAAGCCGTTCTAGGCGGAGCCGTAGCCGAAGTCACGAGAGCTTCGGGAATCAGAGTCGCCCTGTGGCCACCGCGGGCCGGGGGCGTAGTCACTGGGAGATGCCAAACCGCTGGAGCCGGGAGAAGCCAAAGGAAGAGGCATGGCCCGAGACGGGTTCGAGACAAAATCGGTGGAATCAGGATAGACAAGACAGACAAGACAAAGACTGGGAAGGCAGGGAAGGCAGGGGCCCTGGCGGAGATAGCTCATGGCATGGTTCCGGCAGCAGGGATTCCTCCCTGCAGCCCCTGCCACGTCCGGGCTACGACCGTGACAGGCGCCTGGCGCAGCTCGACGACGACCCTCGCTACTTCCCAGGTGCCGAGCTGGGAAAGGCACAGAAGGCTGCAATGGGGATAAAGGGGATGCACGGGCGCAACACGGCGTCCTTTGACCCACGTTCGACACTCGTGCGACCCGCCATGCGTGTCATCTACGGCAGGAAGGGGCATGAGTTTGGAGAAAGCACGAAGCCGGACGATGTGGTGGTCGTGCCAGAGCTGCTGTGCGACACGGGCGACCTTGGAATTCTGAAGCGAGTGGTTGCAGAGCTGGCGCCGCTTACGAAAGGTCAAGTCGACCCCAGCGAGATGCCAGCAGTGAAGAGCCTGGCTGCGCGCATGTCCCAGTACTTCCAAGTGGATCCGGACAGCGCCTCCTTCCGCGTGCGCTGGCACCGTGCTGACGGCAAGCAGCCGGTGGAAGTCGCATCTCCTGGGTTTCGCCTAGCGAAAGGTGCGGGAAGCTGCATGCTGAATTTATCACTAGGGGCCACCTGCGAGCTCGCGTTCAAGCGTGCGAAGACGGGTGAAATCCTGTACTTCCCCCAAGCAAACGGCACCCTAATGCTGATGGGCTACGAAGTGGTCAGCAGCTGGCTCCCGGGCGAGTCCAAGCGGCCGGCGCGGGAACACGTCTCCATCACGGTGTCCGGACGAAGCCGCAAGGCGGTCGAAGAGGAGGCGCTCGCCGACACCGTGGCCGCCGCTACCAAGGCCAGGTGTGTGGGGGGGGGGGGGGGCAGATTCAGCATCTGGGTAGGATGTTTCGACGGATGCTTGCTGCCCTTCAATAATCCAGGAGGGGCCGTGCAGAGACTTCCGGTTTGGTCGCTGCAGCTATGGCGACAACTGCAAGTTCTCGCACGACCAGGACATCCTTAGTGACGGTCGGGCCCCAGACCGCCAGATCGCCTAGGGCCTAGGGCCTACTCTGATTCAAGACGTCCAAACTGCTGGATTGGGAAACCTTACAAAGTCAGGCGAAGTCCAAGAGGTCTGCCCAGTCTTCCCCGTTCAAGCGCATCAAAGCACGAGGAGAAGCAGGGGGTGCGGGAGGAGGCGGTGCCGCAATCCTGGCCGGACCGTCCCAGCATGCGTGTGATCACGGCCTTTTGGCAAGACTTCGTTGCATCTCCTCACATGCTCTTGCTGCTAGTGGCACAAGGTGTGGCAGAGTTCCGTAGGGCGTGGAACGCTTGGCAATGATAGTCGCAACTAGAATCTGGAAGGTTTGTTGGCAGACACGACACCGTGGCAGCAGATAACAAGCGGAAAATACAGCTGACCTGAAGCTGAGGTCCCTGCTTCCCAGCGCTATGCAGCTCCGGTGAAGCACGATGACGTAATCGTGGTTCCCGAGTTCTTCTGCAAAGAGGAGGACTGGGACACCTACTACACTCTTATCAAGGACGCCCATCTGGTGCTTTTTGGGTCTTTTGCTGGTGGATGTTGAAGGGCTTCAGGGTGAGTAATTACTCGGCTGGATCTGAGCAGGAGATGCGCGAAAGCCAAGCCAACGGCGAACGCAAGGCGGCTCCTGTCCCTGTTCGTGCGGCCTTGGGGAGAGGGTTCAGACCACACCCGGCAGGCGGAGTGGATTCCTTGGCACGAAGGGGCCCACCTGCTCAGCCGCCCGGCAGTTCCTTGAGGCTCCCAAGTTCTTCTGGAAGCAAGGGCGCAGGGCCAGGAAGGGAGCATCTCTTGAAGCTTTCTATCCGAAGCCCAGACTGCACACTCTCAGCCCTCTCATGTCTCTAACAGAGGTCAAAATCCGACGGGCTCGGCAACGTACACCAAGGCCCTGCGGCTTCTCAAGCACTGGTTGGGGCTTCTCCGGGTTTCAGCCTTCTCCCAGCGGCAGTTTTGCACGGTGATTGCGATGTCGAGCTCCGGCATCTCCACTTGAATGAAATGCAAACATGCCCAATGCCCGCACTATTCAGGAGCAAGAGTATGTGTTGATAATGAAGCATCATGACAGGTGGTGCAGCGAATGTGCTTCTTGGTTGAACTGCGTCGCAACTTGCGGGCTGCGGTGGACACAGCAATTCGCGCGAACTAAGGTGAATACTTCAAGGCGGCGGAGGGCAACCGTGGCACCCGCTTCAATTGGTACCGGGACGGTTCTGACTGGAAGCCTTTCCACCATGATTCCGTCCCTGAGCTGCAGCTTTGCCTTATGACAGAGATGTTGGAGTTTAGCATTTTTTAAGTTCGGCTCGGTCCAGAATGCAGACGGAAGACGGGAAACATGACAGACGAGCACGTGAGGCTGCCTTCAACGAAGCACGAGCGGCCACCCAGAATTGTGCCTGGGACTCCTTTGTTGAGATGACTGCTCTGTATTGTGATCTTATAACGCTGTCGCATCATACAGCTGAGTAGCATGCCTGCTCCGGGGTCGGGCTCTGAATGTCTCCCATCGAGGCATACAGTCGCTACGCTCGAAGAAACGCAACGAAGCCAGCGACCTTTCATCCCCTTCTCCCAAAGCTTGAAGAAGTCTTTCATAAAGCCGTTGGACTCCGTTAAATCTTGGACCCCACGACATCCTCACAGCTCACAGCTTGGCCTCCGGCAAGGTACCGTCGGCATCTCCTTTGGAGCTTCGCGGGAGCTGGCTTTCCGGCATGCCAAAACGGGCGAGCTGATGCTCAGCAGGTGTTAACGGTTAAGAAACCATGCAGCAACATCGTGCATGAGTGTGTGCCAGCAGCTCACCAGGTTCCATCGATTCGAGAGCACGCTGGTCTGTGTATGTCGTAGGTACACTGCCACACATGCCACCTGCAAGCTGTAAAGGGCGCGGAAACCAGGCAGCGCTTTCACACCATCGAGTTCATTCAAGGGCAGGTTGAAGGGCGGCCACTGGCCACTGACTTGTTGCACATGGTGCCAGCGAGTTTCTCTAGTCTCTTTGCTTCTGCTCCATTTTTTGCCGGGCTTGGGATCTTCTGGGCTGTTGAAGATTTAACTTTCGGGCTGAGTAGCTGCACCTGTGAGGATTCTGCTGTACCGATGATCTGATCCCCTGGGGGACGCACAGATGAAGCAACGAAACCAGTCAGGTTTCAGGTTTTCATTTGCAGCCGTGCTTCCTGTGCCGAAGGGGTGTCTAAGGATTTACTTCCCGCAGAAGAACGGCATGCTGTTTTACTTCGGGCGCGATGCGACGCTACTGCGGCAGTTTGTGGTGCACGTGTGATCGTGCTTCACTCACCATAGAAGTGGTTTCGTTTCCATTCGAGCGTTACAGAGTGGGTGATCCGGACTAATTGTCTGAGGAACATCATCTGGCAGCATGGTATCAATGCCTTGCCGGACCCGGAGCAGGATGGAAAGGGCCGCATCTCCATCATTTGCTGGTGCCTATGCCAGCTTGGTGTGGAAGAGAAAGGGTCGCCAGGTATGCTCACGGACGAGTCCCGGGGCAGTTTCAGCATGCACGGCAAGGGCAAGGGCAAGGGCAAAGGAAAGGGAGATGGAGTTTGCCGCGACTACCAGAGGGGATCGTGCTCCTACGGCGACAAGTGCAGATTCCTGCACAGGAGCTAGCTTCCATCGGGCGGCGCTGCCCGAGCGTGTGGGGATTGGGGTTGCGGGGTTACAAGCCTCGGGGGAACGAGTCCTTGCGGTACCCCTGCAATGCTTTCACCAGATCGTCTTCTCTATGGTCGCGGTGAGCGGCTTTTTCGAAAACAGCAGTGCGATAAGTGTATCGGAGCATGGACACGACGCGAGTGTAAGAGAAGAGAGAGAAGAAAGATGATCAAAAGCAAGAAGTCAGTTCAAGCAACAGTTTTGCGGCTCAAGCTTTTTGAACTGAGTCCCCACCATGGCCCACTCCTTGTTGTTGAGATCCCAGTGACCGCGGGGACCGTGCTGCCACTCAGCACCTGAGATCATCTGTCTTGTACTCTGGCACGCCATTGCAGTTCAGCTTTGGGCGTCCGGCAAACATGTTCAGAAATTTCGCCGTGTGCTCCATCTCCCCACCTCGAACAACTTGCGCGGGTCTCTGGAGTTCCAGCCCCTTGTCACGTCCTTCGTCCCGGACTGTTGTGCTTCCATTTGCCTGCCTCTGCTGTGGCATGCTTCGGGACGGAAAGTTGCGGCCAAGGAAGCAAGACCGCAGTCCTGCCAACCGCCCGCAGCACCCATTGTGTCAGGAGAGGCCTTGCCTGCGTCGAAGCAGCTCATGGCATGGTTCCGGCAGCAGGGATTCCTCCCTGCAGCCCCTGCCACGTCCGGGCTACGACCGTGACAGGCGCCTGGCGCAGCTCGACGACGACCCTCGCTACTTCCCAGGTGCCGAGCTGGGAAAGGCACAGAAGGCTGCAATGGGGATAAAGGGGATGCACGGGCGCAACACGGCGTCCTTTGACCCACGTTCGACACTCGTGCGACCCGCCATGCGTGTCATCTACGGCAGGAAGGGGCATGAGTTTGGGGAAAGCACGAAGCCGGACGATGTGGTGGTCGTGCCAGAGCTGCTCTGCGACACGGGCGACCTTGGAATTCTGAAGCGAGTGGTTGCAGAGCTGGCGCCGCTTACGAAAGGTCAAGTCGACCCCAGCGAGATGCCAGCAGTGAAGAGCCTGGCTGCGCGCATGTCCCAGTACTTCCAAGTGGATCCGGACAGCGCCTCCTTCCGCGTGCGCTGGCACCGTGCTGACGGCAAGCAGCCGGTGGAAGTCGCATCTCCTGGGTTTCGCCTAGCGAAAGGTGCGGGAAGCTGCATGCTGAATTTATCACTAGGGGCCACCTGCGAGCTCGCGTTCAAGCGTGCGAAGACGGGTGAAATCCTGTACTTCCCCCAGGCAAACGGCACCCTAATGCTGATGGGCTACGAAGTGGTCAGCAGCTGGCTCCCGGGCGAGTCCAAGCGGCCGGAGCGTGAACACGTCTCCATCACGGTGTCCGGACGAAGCCGCAAGGCGGTCGAAGAGGAGGCGCTCGCCGACACCGTGGCCGCCGCTACCAAGGCCAGGTGTGGGGATCGGCGTTTGGTTTTGTTCGTTTTTTTTTGCGACTTTGGAAGTTTGGACGCGCACCAGATGCTTCTAAGCCGCACCCGAAGCAGAAGACCGCTTGGCTCCTCCACTCCAAGCTCGAAGCTTTGAGGAGCCTCTTGCGGAGAAGGCGCTCGTCTCGTGGCCCGATCGTCCGAGCATGCGCGTGATCACGGCCCGCTGGCGAAAGTTCCAGATGGGGTGTTTTCGGTGGGTCGCAGAGGTACATGTGGAACTGCGGACAGTTTGACTGGGATGGTAAGCTAGTATTATTGAGGACACTTGTGTCTCATTGCACCTTAGACTTCGAGGGACTTTGACTGAGTTTAGGGTCGATGTGGCTTAAGTTCGGGGTCTAGGGTTTTAGGGCATGGGTCTAGACTGTATAGGACTTCCTGCTGAAAAAAGAGTCTTTGGGCAGAGCGATCTATGAAGCTTTAGAGTTCCATTTCAAGGTATTTATCGGGATAGCCGTCGCAACGTCTGCAAATCTAGGGGACGCGATCGATCAGGGAATATCGGGGCAGGAACGGGCGGGGCCAGAATGCCACCTGCCTAGGTTCCCAGCTCTTGGCAGTATGCAGCCCGTGTGCAGCACGATGATGTGATCGTAGTGCCCGAGTTCTTCTGCAAGGAGGAAGACTGGGACACTTACTATGCCCTCATCAAGGACCCCCGTGGGGGTGCTTCAGCTGCCGTTGCTGGGAGTGAGGATTGCGTTGCTCGTGGTGGCACACCATGCCAGGAGATGCGCGAAAGCCAAGCCAAAGGAGAACGCAAGGCATGCTGCCAGATTTCAGGAGTGGGTTGCTTTCCTCTCCGACAGCCAAATGCTCTTTGACCATCTCTGCGGCCCGACAGGCCGAGTGGGTTCCTTGGCACGAGGGTGCACACTTGCTGAGCCCTTCGGTCACAGTGAGCGGACGATAGTATGGGCATGACACGGCATGACTCATGACTCTGTGCACAACTGCAACTGGCAACGTAGAGCTCTTGCTCGTGCTGCTCCCACTTCAGCTGGGCGACCTGTACCTGCCTTGAGGTCAGAACCCCACGGGCTCGGCGACCTTCTCCAAGGCAATGAGATGTCGCCTGAAGTCTCAGGATTCTTTAATGAAGGGTAAGGGTGTCGGGGTATACGAATAGGCAGAACAGGCCAATCCCGCAAGCCCTGAGAGGTAGAGGAGCGGATCTGCCTCTCGGCTTCGGAAGGCTGCACTTGCTCGGAGGTCCTCTTGGACAATCTGTGCTTCACTGTTGGGTCATCCGAGGGTGCCGGGTCCTTGTGCGTGGTTACCTGGTTTAGAGGATTGCCTGTGCTCCCGTTGTAGGCACGAACCTCGGGTTTCCTCCGCCATGATCGCGAATACTGCAGCAATATCAGGTGAATACTTCAAGGCAGCAGAGGGCAACCGCGGCACTCGCTTCAATTGGTACCGCGACGGTTCCGACTGGAAGCCTTTCCATCATGACTCCGCCCCTGAGCTGCATGCACACCGATTTTAAGCATCCTGAGTTTCAACTGGCTCGTGAGAGATGTTTCAAGTGTATACACGGCAGGGATTGTGGCTTCAGCTGCTTTCGAGACGGCATGCAGTACAGGTTATTTCGCTCGGGAAAGCCTGTGCCTCTTCTGCTCAGTGGCTGCATGGATCATGCAAGATGTCTGAGGCTGCCTTCAATAGAGCCCGAGCGAAGAACCAGAATTGCACCTCGGATATCTCGAAATTCTGTGCTCGGACATGGAAGCGCTAAGTTGCAAGTCGCTCCCAGACCTCTTGTGGGATGGCCACAACGGAAGTTCTGTCTCGGTACGCAGCACGATCGCATTTGCTGAACCCTTAGCCTTAGCCTTGGGCTGGGACCTTAGTCCCAGCAAGGCACTGCAAGAACCTGTTCGAAGACGTGAGCCCAGGGCAGCCAAAGGACCGAAGCTTTGTTCCCAAGCCCGAGGCACCATCGGCATCTCTTTCGGTGCATCGCGGGAGCTCGCCTTCCGGCACGCTACGACCGGGGAGTTGACGCGTGGCGCACAAGAGGGGGGGTCAAGAGTTGCAGCTTACGATTGTAAGGGTAGGGAGGGTACTACGGCAAGGGAAGACAACAGTTCATGATAAGCTAGGGGGCTGTGGGCTTCGCACTTCGGTGCAGCTTGACAGGCATCTTCATTTGCGTTGACCCTCCATCCAGAGGGCTTGCGAAGCAACCACTTGGAGTTCCTCTGCTGGGCATGAGTTGAGGAAGAGGCGTTTCCAATCATGCTCACTGGCCAAGGTGAGGGAATCCTGTAGACGAGGCATGCGCATGCATGACGTATGCATAAAGTATAATGGCGAATGAATTTGTGCTTCGTCGGTTGCGGCTCCAAATCCTTCTAGGATCGTATTCACGCGGCACGTCAGGATCTACTTCCCCCAGAAGAACGGCATGCTCTTTTATTTTGGCCGCGATGTGACACTCGGTGTCAGCATGGCAAAGGCATGTGGTTGAGGTTAGTAAGCATTCCTCAGGCTTGGTCCTTGTGCAGCGGTGTGCGCGCCTTGCGCTCCGCCGCATTCCTCCCATCCCATATGTAGTGAGGGCAGCTCATGCTATGGCAACTGGCCTTCTGAGGAACATCATCTGGCAGCATGGTATTAATGCCTTGCCGGACCAGGAGCAGGATGGAAAGGGCCGCATCTCCATCATTTGCTGGTGCCTATGCCAGCTTGGTGTGGAAGAGAAAGGGTCGCCAGGTATGCTCACGGACGAGTCCCGGGGCAGTTTCAGCATGCACGGCAAGGGCAAGGGCAAGGGCAAGGGCAAAGGAAAGAGCAGAGGCAGAGGGAAGGGAAGAGGAAAGGGAGCTGTAGTCTGACACGGCTACTTGGGATCCTGCTGCGAAAGCGCCAGTTGCTCCAGAGCAGCGTCGATTCCTGAAGCTGGCTGGTATGTTGTGTGACTTAGCTGGGCCCGATCTCAGAGACAAGACTGCTCGCCCATAAACGAAGGCCACACTTGGCAGCAGTGGCGGCAGCGTCGTGGGTGGTTGTCAGTGGTGGGGTGGCGCTGCAGGCCGTGGCCGTCGGCGCAGCAGCTGCAGAAGTGCCGTAAACGGACCTCTCCTCCTCCTCCATGCCGCGTTCGCATCATTGTCATCGTCATCATGACCGTCGCCATCATCATCACCATCATCAACATCACTGTATCAGTGCCATCATCACGAAAGCACCAGTTGCTGCACAGCAGCTAGGTGCCGCAGCTTTGTGGGTTGAGGGTTGCCGGCCTCGAGGGGAACGAGTACTTGCAATTGTCAGCTTAGCTTGTTTCACCATCGTCACCGGAGTGGCTTTTCCGAAGCCTTCGTGGACCGCTCGTTGAAAAGAAGCCTGCACAGCTGAAGTTCGGGACGGCGAATCGTGGAAAGATGAAGCCTTCTAAAGAGGTGCAGTGCATGCTTCAGCACCACAGCTTTGACGTCAAGTGCCCTTGCCCGCTGAGTTGCATGCCGTCTGGACTCCCGCTGCGGCTGCTTGTGAATGCCGAAATCCTTTCATACAGTGAAATGTGTTTCTTCCACTCTTGACAGGGCTGAGGCTGTCAGTTTGAACTAGTCCAAAGAGCTGAGAAAGTTGTGTCCGGGTAGTCTTCCAACGTTAGGAACCATTCCTTTGAGATTTGAGGCTCTGCCTGCTTGAGCTGAAGTGGAACCGGTCATTTCGCCGGCCGCTTGCTTTGTGCGGGAAAAGACAGCTTCTTCTGGGCGCCTCCTTTCCGACCCTCGTGGGCACGGCCTGCCTCCAAACTTGGTTCATCTTGAACAGCCGAGCCACAAAAGCCGAGCGCACCCCTCAGCCCGTCCGCCGCCGCTACTTTGCTCCCTTAGGGGCCCAAAGAGGGTCCGCAGATTGGCTTCTGGCCTCTCCCGCTCAATGCTAGCATGACCCTGACGGCCGGGAGCTCGCGTGGTCCATGAAACCAGCTCCGGCGGAATCAGCGTGGTGCACACCTTCTTCTCTTGTGCCCGAAATTTCCAACCATCGCGAAACCGTCTTCGAGTTGCATGGGAGGTGTGTTGGGCTCTCGACCCCTGCCTTCAGATTGCGAGTGCACCTTGCGTGCTGCAGGTCTGGTGGAAATGGCTTTCGGTCAGGCACGGAGAGTGGTAGTGGCTTCAGAGGGTTTTGATGGGTGGCAACTCATAGGGATGATGCTTGCGTTGTCCAGTGAAGTGCCGCACGAAGGCCCTCCCCCCCGCAAGCCTGAGAGCTTCCTCAGGGTTCTCCTCGCGGCCTGGTCCGCACAGCTCGGCCACTGCTTGGCAGCCTGGGTCTCAGCTCTGTGTCTGTTTGCATCGGATTCTGAGCCGACTCCAAAAGGTCGAAGGCCAGCGGCATGTCCATCTCGATAGCGAAGGACATCTCCGAGTGGCTCCTTGGGAAGCAAGCCGGTCGAAGGCCAGCTATCGCCTTCTCATGGGGTCTTCTGACCAGAGCCCCGAGGCCCCGGCGCCAGCACCAGCCATGGCCGCCTCACCGGCGCCCGCGGGTGCCATGGCGGGTGCGCCGGCGCCTGTGGAAGTAGCTGGACCCAGGCCAGCAAAAGCTCAGGCTTGCAAGGCTTAGGAGGTTGGGATGCAGATTGCTTCGCGCAAGATGAGAAAACAAGCAACACATGTCTGGAAGTTCTGAGAGCCTCGTACCACTATGCACCGTACAGTGGCAACGTCATCGTGTCAATGTGCAGGAAGCAGCAGCCGCTTTTCCCGGTCAAGTACAACTTAGACCTGTCGGAGTCAAAGATGCTTCTTTTTCTGCAGTGCCCGCCGTTGGGTTGCGGATTCTGGGTGGGCCTCTTGCGAGGTCAGTTAGGGTTACAGTAGACCGGCCTGAGGCGAGAACATGTCAGAGAGACGGAATGGTCTGGGATTGATGCCACACTGGTCGCTTTGGATGTTCTTGCTTGAAGAGCCCTCTTTCTGCTGTGTTGTTGTGCTATCAATCCATGAAGCCTTTAGACTGTTGGGCTTCAAGCAGTTCAAGGCAAACGGCCTGAGATGGCAACCGTTTTGATCTGAAGACTCTTAGGCCTGCAGTGCGCCTAAAGTAAGAGCCCCGGCTTAGCCTTCAATCCTGGCACCGAGGTCCGACCTCAAGGAAGAGGAGGCCGCAGAAGCATGGGTTGATTCTCGAGGCTTATAGGAGCATGTCTGAGAAGACTTTCAAGATCCTGGCGTCAAATCTTCGTTCTGAAGGCTTCAGGGCTCATGGCTGGGCTGTTTCTGTGAGGTCAGCAGTGCGACAGCTGGCTCGCTTTGCATGTGAAGGGGAAGACAGACTAGAAGTCGAGGGACAAATCTAATTTTAACGCTACGCCGCCCGCCTCGGCTCTGTAGTGGCAGGGCGAGGGGGCAGTGGATGTCGTATCACCATGCTAGGGGGCTCTCAACCCCAACCTTTGCGTGTCCAGTGCGGGACCTTGCTGCTCTTTTCCTTTGGGAGAGGGGGGGGGGAGGTGGGGGAGGGGCAGGGGGGAGGGGGGGGGAGAGGAGGGAGCGGGGGTGAGGGGGAGGAGGCCTACAAATCAGGCAAAATGAAGGGAAGCGGGCAAGCGGGGGGCAAACGAATGCAAAACGGGTGTCTCCAAACTTTCGGACTGCAGGAAGGAGGATTAGGTGGAGGGAACCTGAGGTAACCCTCAAGACGCCTGGGCCTGTGGCCTCGGCGGATTTCTGCTGTTCTCGGATTCCTCTAGCGGTCTGATGTCGACAATTTTCTATTTCTGTTGATTCAATCGGCTTTCTTGCTTTCTTGAACTGAGCTGCCTCGCGAAGTATGCTTCTCCACATCCATGCCATCCTGAACCTTCTCTGAGCTCCGAGCCTGACGGTACCTGACGCGCTAATTCGTCGAAGCTGCAACCGTCAACAGGGGCTCACGATCGTCTTCGACAAGACCATCCGAGCCCTGAAGCTGGAAGCTGGTATGTTGTGTGCTGCTCAGATGGGCTCGACCTCAAGACAAGACTGCATGCTCACATGCGAGTATCGATCAAACCATCATCTTTCAGCGTCAGAGTAGCAACGCAAAGTAGCAGGACAGCGTAGCAGGCGTAGCAGACTCGCAGTCGCAGTCGCGGTCGGATCATCATCATCATCGTCACTTTCACAAATCATCACCATTATCAGCAACATCGCTATCATCATCGACCTGACCAGTAGCGAAATGGCGTCAAGCCTCGGTTATCCTCCAGGCCCCAAGGCGGCGTCGCCTGGGGAAAGTATCACGACAACATCCACACCACCGGATGGCCTTTTCCCTGGCAATGTTGATCGAGCCACGTTTGGGATTGTCACTTCGAGGTTTGTTTCGTTTGAAGGGCCGGTTACGTTGGCTTCTTGCGCGGCGTTTTGCTCTTTTGATGTCCCTACCCCGTTTTTGTAGCCGACCGCAGCGTCTTCAGGTCAGAGTTGCAGGTCCAGACGGCAGACGATCTCGCCATGTCGAACGACATTAAGATGTATGCACGCCCCTGAGAACGGGCCGGATTTTTCATGTATGTACTGAGAGGCTTGTTTCAGACGCCTTCCCCTCACCGAGCAAACCACGAGGCTGAGATGGGCTTGAAACAAGGATTAAGTGACTAAGGCGGCGGGCTACATTGAAGGCCTCCTGACGTGCGTGCGCATCTCCGAGTTCTATGCCAACAGCCAGAAGTTCCCTGGCCGGGCATTTTCGGTCTGCTTGTGGACTTGCATAGGGGTTCTTCATCCTCGAGTTCGTCGTAGCTTAAGCTGAAACTCCCGAGCGGTGCAACTGCTATGTCCGCCGTAGAAGAAAAGCAAGTGGTTGGACGCGCTCTGAACTTGCATTCATATGCTCTGCGAGCGTCGCCTCAAAAGATCTCTGCCCCACATGGCATTCTCGTTACCTTCGAACGCTCATTGGCTTGCTTGTGCAAGTTGCGTCTTGGATATTCTTGTGGCCTTCCCTGCTGTTTGTTGGAAGCAAGAAGTTCCGAGGCTCCTTCTGGCAAAAGACAAGACGGTTGGAGCCTTATCGAGATTTTCCCCTCGGAGCTCTAGTTCAGAGCCAGTACTTCCAGCGCTTTCAAACACAGATTGCTGAGAGAAGGTACCTTTGCACCTGCATAGGCAACAGTATGCAGGATTCCGGAGTGTCCAGGCGAATGCTTTGCCGGGCATCCGCACGCTCTTCAAGAACCAGCCCAGCTGACACCGCTTTAGATTGGCTTGCGTTTCTTGGGCGGGGCATGCGCAGACGAACAGGGATGGTTCAAAGAGCAAACATGCACCAAGAACGCACAAGGCAAGGGATCCCGCTTGAAGACCATGTGCCACATCAATTTTTTTCGTGAGTCGTGGACTGAATCGCCCGTTGATCTGAGCCAGGATGGCTCACGCGCGCTTCATGACAAACATGGAGCCGGGGCCTTGGCGGTCAGAGCTCTGCTTTCAATGGACAGTTAGGTACGCCGACGAGCCCTGTATCTGTGGTCGGTTTCTCGTGCAGCTGATCTGAGAAGCTGAGAGAAGTGTGGCGTTTGGGCTGATACAGCAACCGGTCGACGACTTCTCATCACGGCGACCTGTTCTGTACCATCTGCGCAGCAGAGAGTCAAGTCTTGTGGGGCCCCTTGGCAACTAAGTGGCGTGCTTCTTTAGAGGCCCCAAGCCAAGCCAAACACAGGTATAATATAGTAGGACTTTTCGGAGTCTTGACGACCATTTTCCCCACATCCATGTGCACCATCAAAGGGAGTGTTACCACAATCAACCTAGGAGATGCTGCTTCTGCGGAGTGCCGTTTCCACGCATTTCGCCACAAAGGAAACACGGAAACAAGCGCAGAAAAAGGTGTGAACAATGCGGAAACATTTGTGGTAAAAGAGGCGGGAAATGCGGAAAAGTGTGGAATTTGCGGAAACATTTGCGGAGAAAGTTGTGGACGACGCGGAAAATGTTGTGGAAAACGCGGAAAGAAGTTGAAGTTGCGGAAAGCGCGCAACCATTTGCCGAGAAAGTGGCGGAGAACACGGAAGCATTTGCAGAAGAAGGCGTGGAACAAACATGGAAATGCACAAACATAGTTGGTTGCCGACTGGTATACTCTTTGGACATCAACCCTCTTCCGGAATGTTTCTGCATGCACTTGTTTCCACAACATTTGTCCGCAAAGGTTTCGGCATTTTCCACAACTTTTCACCGCATTTCACACAACTTGTTCCGCACATGTTTCCGCATTTCCCACCAATTGTTTCGCTACTACTACTACTACTACTACTACTACTACTACTACTATCACTACTACTACTACTACTACTACTACTACTACTACTACTACTACTACTACTACTACTATACTATACTACTACTACTACTACTACTACTACTACTACTACTACTACTACTACTACTACTACTACTACTACTACTACTACTACTACTACTACTACTACTACTACTATCACTACTACTACTACTACTACTACTACTACTACTACTACTACTACTACTACTACTACTACTACTACTACTACTAAGACTGCTACTACTGTTCTTATTTTTGTTTTCAGTTTTGTTACTAGTGCTATTGGTGTTATTATTGTGAGTGTTATTGTTATTTGCCTTTGCTATCGTTTGTGGTTATTATTGTAATCGTTGTTATGGTTCTGATTGTGATTGTAGTGATTAGGGTTCTCATTGTCATTATTGTTATTTGCTATTGCTATTGTTGTTGTTATGAGTACCGTCATTTTGATTCTTACTGATCTTTATTCTTACTACTGTTGGTGCTATCACCATTAAAAATAGCATTGTTGTTGTTATTGTGGTTGTTAGTACTGTTGTTCTAGTTATTCTTGCTCGTCGTCTTCCTCTTCTTATTCTTGGTACGGGTTGTTATAGGTATACAGTATAACTTCTACTTAGTGTGATTGTTGTTGTTGTTGTTGTTGCTGCTGCTATCGTTATTGTTATTGTTGTCGTTATTCTTATTGTCGATGTTACTGCTACTTTTACTGTGTGTTAAGTGTTATTGTTGTTGCTAGTGTCATTGCTCTTCTTATTGTTTTTTGTTGTTGCTATGATTGTTACGATGATGATGTTGTGTGTTGTTGGCTCTCTGTCCTGTTACAAAGACCGGGTCGGGCACAGGTTCTGAGGCACGGAGCCCCTAAAGCTCGACCTGCCGAAAGGTCCCACGTCTTTGCAGAGGAGCCGAAGGACCCCTATTGGAAGCAGGTGCGCTACACGCCTTGGGCTCAGTGGGCATTCTTACTTCTTGTTGATGGCGCGTGGCTTGACGAATTGTCTTCAGGTTCTTCCAGATGTGGGGTCTTCTGGATGGCTAGGGCCTCAAGCCTGGGTGGGAGGCCAACAGGTGCTGTCTGCGGACTGGCCCCTTGCCGAGTCAACTTGCTTTACCCCTAAATGCTGAAGCAGCAGTGTGGTGGCCGAAGCGACATGTTTCTCAAGGGTTGCGAAGGTGAGCGGGGCAGGTGACTTCTGCTTCGTTTGAGCTCCTGGCGGGAGGGCTCTGAAATGACCAGCAAACGGATGCATGCTTGAATAAGGCTACAATGCCGCATCCGTTCGCTTCGGTGGCGAGATGCTGGAGCTCGATGACATGCTCTTCATGAATGCCTGGGGCTTTGTCTGATCTCGTGCAGTGTGATTCGGTCAGGGAGTGGAGCAGTTTGGCCTGGGTGTGGTGGCATAGTCTTACGTGCTTTCCCTGTCCAGCTGCCTGTAGCATGGTGACCCACGAGGGTACTGTTTGTTGCAATCTAGCTACAAGTGTGCAAAAAGATATCGGGACGATCTCCAGACGGCTTTTGCCTCGTGTTTGAACTTCAGCAATACGTTTTTGACTGCGTCTGGGAGGCTGTGTAGCAGAACCCGGTGGCTCTGTTGACTGACACTGATCTTCCCTCGGTCTCGTCCGAGCACCTCAAATCTCGAGTTTCGAAACGTGCATAGACTAGCAGATCGGCGCGAACACATGTGCATGTGTAAACACCCGCGCAGCGTGCCCGTATGTTTGAAAGCCAATTAGTAAGTATGTAAGCATGTAACTATGTAGTAGATAAGCATGTAGTACGAATGTATGTTTGCATGCATGCAGCATGCATGCTGTGCATCATGGCAAAGCCATAAGTGTATGTGCGCACAAGTGGTGGACATGCATGCACTCTACGCTACATCATGTCAACCAAGGACAGTTCCAGCTGAGTAGTTAGGAAGTGGGTATCCCGGCAGGAGGCCGATATAGATGTTATGGCAAACCCTCAGACACCCTACCCCGAGCCCTGAAATCTTACGAAGAAGTAGAGGCCGGAGGTGAGCTTCCGCAGCTGATGCAGGCACCGGGAGCCGCAACGCAGGTAGTTTGCAGAAGTTCGTGGGTTAAGGGTCACGGGTTTAGGGGTTAGCACTTCAGGGTTTTGGTTTGCGTTGCAGGGTTTAGGGTTTGCCGCTTGCTGCTTGGTTTTGTTCAGTCCTCTCTGTGAAGCGTTGCTTTGCAGTCGCACGTTTACGTACATGCAGCCCTCGGTTCTGCAGGGATAGTAGGCGTGTTTCCGCACCATCATGATCATCCTGAGTTGGTATCTGCTGTACGTTGCAATTTGGTATCAACGATTACGATCTGACTTTAGATACCCCCATAAGCAGCCCTGCCATGCCTCCGTTGCGCGTGGCCTTTCTGGGCGACTCCTGGGTGACTGACTTTGAGGTGACCGATGAAGGACCTTTGCTATGTTTTGGGCAGTTTGGGGCTTGGAGCCGTAGGCCTTCGTGGAGGCTTTCTCGGCTTCTTGTGCTAGTCCTGACCAGGGTTTGGAGAGTATTTAGGTTGCAGGTCCACTGGCCCCTCAGCCTTGGGGTGGGTTGTCACAGACGCAAGGCATGTTAGATCATGTTAGATGCAACTCAGGGAGGCATGAAGTAAATCGACATGCCCTTCGTGAACTTTTCCAGAATCTGGGCCAAAGACTTTGTTGCTTCCGAACCTGTGGAATGCATGCTATGTGCAGCAGTGGCAGCTGAACCTTTTGAGATGACTCCAATCATCTAAGCTGCTCGGTGAAGAGGAACTCATAGCCCGCAACATCTGCGTCCAGGACGAAAAGTCGTTCAGCGCCCTGCCGCTGCAGCATTGAAGGCACGGGCGGGAAATCCGCCGATGAGCAAATCATGGATATTCGAGGTTGAGGGAGTGTAAATCCGAAGGGAGCTGTACTCAAAGACCCTTTCTTATGCGCCGCACCCCGGGCACAAAAGCTCGGAGGTGAAGGTCTCCAAAGCCCCCCAGAGCCACCAGCGCACCTGCGCAGGATTCGCTGTCGCAGCGCCTTGACTTTGGCATTACTCTTGGGTATTCTTAATTCCCATGGACTGGTAAATTGAAAAGGATTGCAAAGCAGCTGTACGTGAGCATTCCCCCAGATCTTGCTCCGATCATCTCCAATCGCTCGCCAGCGTAGATCCTTGCATATTGAAGCCTATGTCTACGATTGCTTAGCTGAATTTCAGGCACGGGTAGATTTGCATTTTTGAGGCTTGGACTTGTTTCTTGTGGCATTTGCTAGTCAAGCTTGCGCTGGGTTCCTTTAATTCCCCAATAGGCACCAGGTTTGGCGGGGGTGCGTCGACCCCGATTTGGTCTGGCCCGCCCGTGTCCCGGTCTTCTGTCAATTTAGGTCGGTGCCCAGGTCGTGGTTCCAGTCGTGTGGTGTCCCGGTCGTGTCATGACCCGCGTGTTTTCATGGGCCAGACTCGGAGACGGAGGCTTTTCGCAGCAGCTCGGAGAGCAGCGAGAGATAGCCAGAGTCCGCTCGTCGCGTTCATGCACGGCCAGCAACGTCAGATCGCCCACGGGTTAAAAACAATTCAATAGAAGGTCCACTGTTTCGCAATGCACTTTCCGTTTTTCCACAGCAGTTCAAGCCAGACAGAGTCACTTTGTTTGCTATTGGGGTCAGCAGCTGAGTTTTTAGACGCCTGAGCATGTCACACAGTTTTCATCCCCACAAGTGCCGCGTCTACCTGCGTCTGTCGAAACAGCTTCCAGCTATAGGAGCCTCGGACCTCTGGAATTGGTTGTGGCCGGCCACTGGGCTGCTTTTCCTTTCGAGGTTATTTTGGGAGTCAGGGGATGGGGCGGCCGCGTTAGCAGAAGGGTGATTCTGAAGTATCGATGGTCTTATTTGTGTGGCTGCGTCAGCATTGTTGTTCTTGCTTCACAACCATATCGCACTTGCTCCCCGTCCTGGTCATCTCCTTTGTTTCTGATCTTTTTGTGAGGCGGGATTCGCTACAGTGCGGCCGTCTTCGTTTTCTGTTCCTTTTTGTCTGATTCATTTTAGCTTCTCAATCGCTCCAATGGAGTAATATTCTTTGAAATAAATGTATCAAGGTATGTTGAGAGAGAGAGGTAGTTGTAGCACATACCGGCACCCGGAATCTGCCATTGTCCAGTGCGCAACCAAGAGATGAGCCGAAGATTGACGATCGATTGTACTCTCCGCTTGGGAGTCTGAGAGCTTTGAAACGAGACGAGAGGAAGGCGGCACCAGAATGCGAAAGGAGCCTAACAAGAAGCAACCAGGACAGACAACGAGTGGGATACAGCAGTGGAAAGAGAAAGCCATGCAGTCACAGCATCACCCATAAGCACGCCCTAAACGTATGTTTGTTTAAGGGTGTATCGCAGCCCGGAGCCTTGTCCCGATCAGAACCGGTCCGGCTGTTGGTATCTAACACCCAACCTGAAGCTTCTTGGAACAGAACTTCCAACAACAACCATAGTAAAGGTCTCAAGTAACGGTGGAAGTGATCGTACTCCTGGAAATCGCCCCGAATCTTGAGTCTCAAGCCCTTTGCCTCGCAAAGGCTTCCCCGGTTGCACGAGTCACCGCCTCGGGCGGCTCTGTGACCTCCTGCGGTCGCTGGGCACACCAACGGGCTGAGTGTCTGTAGAGCTTCTTTCTCGACGTCGGCAGGGGCAGCTTTTGAGATTCGGCACGGCCGCAGCAGAAGGGCTTCCCTCGCTCGAGAGAGGGTAGTCATGATCGTCGGTGAGGCGTCGGGGTTCGGGAGGTGCATGTTCTGCCAAAGCTCTGGAAGTTACTGCTTTGGCTCGGGTCCCGTTGTCGCAAGAAGTGTGTGTGTATATATAAGACACACACACACATACACATATCAAACCTTCACAAGCAGGATCAAGATTGCTCAAGCATCACAGCCGAGATTTGACAAGCATGAAGCTCGCAAGCTCTGCCCCGGACCTAGAAACTGAAATTCCAGGCTTGAGAGCCATCCAAGCGCTTCTGTTCAAAGCCGAGGATCCGCGAGATGGCCAGCTTTTCAGACGGGTCTCCTTCTGTCAAGGTGAGCATTACTTCCATGTGCCAAAGCTTGGAGTACGCGGACATCCCATTGCTTTCAGAGATCAAAAAAGGCCGGCCATGGCAGAATAGATCCAGTGTGGCCCTTCATGAAGCTTCATGACCGGCAGAAGTGGCAAGAGGCGAAGCTGTCGACTTCGCCGTCGTTGTGATTGGCAGCAACGATGTTTACACCGAAAGTGCCGCTTGAACTGGCAGCGAGATCGGTCATTGGAAAGTTGCTTCGTGCATTACAGTAGGCTCGCTGGGCACTGCACCATGTTCGGGCAGTCGCAAAGCCAAGGCCGATGCGATAGTCCACAACTTGATGCGTCTGCGCCGCCTGCTTGCCCTCCGGGGTGTCGAAGTTGTCTTGTGCACTTTGTACGTGAACCTCGAAGACAGGAGCCGAAGGGCATGAAAGCCTTTAATGCTCAGAACGCTCACTCCGAGCTTCCTTCCAGGACCTCGTGGCCCTACGCGGCCGAGGTTTGCGATGAGGCCGGGCTTATTTTCTTATTTTCTGCTGAGTTCTGAAGCGCGAAGCTATCTCATGACTCTTCCGTCTCACGTTGACAGCCCAAGACAGTGAATGTTGTCGTAAAGTCGCCCACTGTATGGACTTTCATTCCACCCACAAAGAAGTCAGAACGGGCAAGTTTTTGGTAGGCTGGGCTCATTCGTGAGATTTGTGTGTGCCAGGGCGTGGAAAGATTTAGTTTGGTACGTTTTGGCAGGTTCATGCCAGTCAGAGTCAATGGCCCTGCCAGGTGAACAACCAGCTCCGACAGGACGGGAGTAGCGTGTGGTAGCTGAAGGGGGAGTGTGGCTCATCTCAGCACTGCAGGGGGGGTGTATGGTACATGTAGACTGTAGACATACGAGGCTCCACCTTGATCGACAGCAGGAGGATGGTATCGTTGACACAGATGGGCTTTTCAAGACGTTGATGCCCGAGATGTGGGCCAACACATACCACCTGACTACCGAAGGCCTTGGCATGTGTTGGACTGCCTGCCAACATGAAGTCACATTGACCCCGATACCCCCTTCACGCTTTCAGGGTGTCACCCCCTATCTTGTTCGCCCCGCTGCGAAAGGCTACCATGAGTTTGGGCGCCGATTGGCAGAGGTTGTTGCGGAGCGCTTCCGCTTCGATGCCACCGTGCCTCTTACTCTGTCCCCGGGATCCCTTTTCCTGCAAGGTCCGGGGGACTTTGTACATAGATTATTGCAGGGAGCCTATGTCAAGGAGTCTGGCACCAACCACGGCAAGCCCATCTACAAAAAGATGGGCCCGAAGGGCACCACGAGAGTGCTCCTCTTCTACTGGGATGCCAGTGATGGACCCGAATGGAACGGTTGGTGGCTTGGGCCGAGCCTCAGCTTCGACCACCCTGGCTGGGCCTTCCATGCAAGCACTGGCAATGAGCCTCCCCTGGAGGGATGGACGGTTCCGCCAAGTGGGCAAGTGAGCAACTTGGATCTGAGAAATTGAATCATGAGTTTTATCCGCAGAGATCGCGGGGTCCATTCATGTCCTTTCCATGCACATGGAGCCCAGGTGCGATGCAGCTCCGAGTTTCAACCAATTCAGAAGCACTGAAGGCTCCACGCCTGCTTAGTGCCAACGCCCCTGCAGCTGCGGCCAACCCGCCGAGCCCAAAGAAGCGTCGGATCACTCTCTCAGAGGAGGTCTGGTGCAAGAAGGCACGGCTCATGGACCGCCTTGACCCTCCGAAGCGCCGAATCTGGCGTTCTACTGAATACTGGGCAAAAAAGGCCCGAAGGGCCTGACTGAGCCTTCCAATAGAATTGATGTGATGTTTTTCTTAGCATGCTTTCGCAGAGACTGTACGGTCGGTGTTTCAGGAAAAAAGGAATCCCGCCCTGTTGCTTCCGGCTATTGTTGTATCAAGAACTGCCAAGTTTATTTGACAGGCTTGCTCAGTGTCTCCGCACCAAGCTCTCGCTTGAGAGACCTTCCTCATGCTTTCCGAAGATGCACTGCGTAGCTTGGCAGGCCTACACTCCTGAGAGGAAAGAACACAGGTCTGCTCGGTCGCAGGCGCCGGAGTGTGGGAACGCATTGTCTTTGTAGCAGCAGAATAGCAGTCGCAGTGGCAGTGGCAGTAGCAGCAGTAGCTTGTCGTAGTCGTAGTGGTAGTGGTAGTCGTCGTCGTAGCAGTAGTAGTAGCAGTATTCGTAGTCGTAGTAGTAGTAGTAGCAGCAGTAGTCGTAGTTGTAGTTGTAGTTGTAGTCGAAGTCGTAGTCGCAGTCGTGGCCGTGGTCGTAGTCGTAGTCGTTGCGGTGGTAGTAGTAGCAGTAGTAGTAGTAGTAGCAGCAGTAGTAGTAGTAGTAGTAGTACTAGTCGTAGTCGTAGTCGTAGTAGTAGTCGTAGTAGTAGTCGTCGTAGTAGTAGTAGTAGTAGTAGCAGTAGGAGTCGGAGTAGGTGTAGGAGTAGGAGTAGACATAGTAGTAGGAGCAGTCGTCGTCGTAGCTGGTAGCAGCAAAGAGTAGTGCTAAGCAGTAACCAGTAGCAGGTGGTGTGCCGGCTACCAATGGCTGGTTGGAAGTTCTGCTGTGGTGCACTGCGACCTCCCCACCGGAATTAGAAAGCTCCGATGAAAACTCGATCAAGCCTTGGAGCGAGGCACCTTCCTTCCTGCAGCGGAGTCAGAGCCAGCAGGCCGAGGCACCAGCTCCGGAGCTGAGGGGCAAATGTTCCAACACCGACTCTGGTTTTCTTCCTATAGTTTCCTGAGAACTGTACTGGTTTATGCTGTGTGTCAGTTGCTTATGTGAAGCTTGAGGTAGGCATCATGCAGATGTTTCACGTTGTAGGGAAGCAGTGTACAATGAACGGGTATCCGGTTCTTATTATTTGAAGATGTCGGCCTGAACAGGAACATTGGTGCCGTCTCTGAAATACAGTCAGGGAGAGATCATTTGCAGTAGAAGATTTTGCAACAGAGCTGTCTCAGGCTGTTGGGAATAAACTCAGTGCTTATCTTGGTCCTACATTGTTTGCCCAATATTCGTTCCTGGCAGAGAAATTTCTCCTCTGATCGGTCGAAAGGTTGATTCAATCTCGTCTCGGTCATCGGAACGAGTGAGACACCAACTGCAGAACCCATAAAGCGAACGGTGTTACATGGACAGTACTTCACGACTACAAGATTTCAGACAGGAATTTCCTGAAACAGCCTTATGCTGTATCCCATGCAGACGGACTTGATAGATAGATGGTCAGGAGGGTATGAAGAGCTGAACCCAGCATCTTGTTTTGCTTAGTGTGCAGTAATCTCGGGAGCAAGCCTCAAGTCCGCTGAGCTATTGTGACTGATGGTTGTTTGCAACGGCTGGAAACAAATTCCTTTCGAAAGACGAACGCTAAGGACACCCGATGCAACCCAGTAGAGACAATAACTCGCTCGAGCTGAGGAAGGTGCCTAGGACATTGTACATGTCTGTGTACGATGTGAAGACACCAGTGACATTCTGGCATGTTCGTCGCAAATGGTCGAGAAGCTGGCTAAGAGAGGGTTTTTTCGAACATTGGTTCATGCTCGCGAATATTCCGGAGATCAAAACGGAAACTGCGGTTCTGACAACTCCACCGGTTCACTTGTCAACCCAACTGTGGGACGCATTCATGCACTTTCCTGAACAGGGCCCTGCAATCACTGATGGTATCAAGAGGCGGCAGTTTGATTTCGCAGTCAGTTCCCTGAATCTAGAATCAAGCAGACCGGTAGTAGCTTGAAACTGGTTACTTGAACGGGTTGACGGTTCTGTTGGAGGATATCTGTGGTAGGTCGGGTCCCGTGAGGACGTCCTCGACGATGCGCACTGGGAGCGTCGCCTCGTCGAGTGCTGCCCCTAATATATGCATATTTCGTATGCATATTGATATATATATATATATATGTGTGTATATGTATACACACCCATATAAATATATATATATACATACATATATTTTTGGCCAACTTGGCCAGTGCCTGCGGTCCTGTTGCTTGAGGGGCGATCTCGCCGGACAGGACGATGAGGTTGCTTTTTATAGCCTTTTGTACTTACTGTTCGCTTGTTGTATGCTGTTCTTGAACTGGCAGGCAGTAGGATGTTGAGGGGTGCTATAGAGCATGCAACCTTGAGTTGCCGGTCTGATGACTGCCCACAGAGACGCAACGCGAGACTCCCTTGCGGCGATGGAAGAAGAAGATATATATATATATATATATATGTATATACATATATATATATATATATATGCATACATTATACAGATGCATGTATGCATACATTGTATGTATGTATATATATATATACATAGATTATGAATAACCAAATGTATAAATGAATACATTATTTATGTATATATATATATGGTCACCCCCCCCCCCATGACAGACCATGCCCTTTCGACTCAGTCGTAGTGCATGGTCTGTGATCGGGGGGAGGGGGCACTCAGCTTTCAAAGCCTCAATTCCAAAATTTCCAAAATTTCCAAAATTCTCTCCCCTAACTTTCCGGATTTCCAAGATTTCCAAAATTTCCAAAATTTCCGAAATTTCCGAAATTTCCAAAATTTCCAAAATTTCCAAAAAGTCCGCCCTTATGTTTTGGAAAAATCCTGTCGACTAGGTCGGGAAATTTTGGAAATTTTGGAAATTTCGGAAATTTTGGAAATTTTGGAAATTTTGGAAATTTTGGAAATTTTGGAAATTTCGGAAATTTTGGAAATTTTGGAAATTTCGGAAATTTTGGAAATTTTGGAAATTTTGGAAATTTTGGAAATGCGGAAAGTTAGGGGAGAGAATTTTGGAAATTTTGGAAATGCTGGAATCTGTTCTATATATGACTCAAGTAAGATTACTGTGTAGTGCTTACTATGTAGTGTATCAGCACAACCCTCATCCATACACGTGTTCTCTGTAATTCCTTTCTTGGTAGGACACCCGCGCGCCTTGTCGTGCTAGTCTCCGCATCGGACCAGATTACTTGCAAAGGCAAGGGCTGTCAATACTCATGCCCATATTTACACGAATATCTCTCTATCTATCTGTATATCTATATACACATATATGTATTGATACTCCTACATATAGTATTACCATTGAACATACTGACATTGATCATTTGTTGAATGCTCAAGCTAATACCAGCATTACTACTAATATTACACTTCTATAAAGCTTAGTACGAATATGCATAACACAAATACTAAGATTGATTAGTATTGCTCTTAGTACTCCTACGCATATCAATAACCATATTCATATTGATAATAATGTATAATAATACCAATACTAACACACACCTGTATGTACTAATGTACATAAACATGCATACCACCATATTAAAATACAAATCCTTTAACTCACTCATGAATTCAACTGTTAGAATTTCACGTGGTCAAGAGTAATAACAATACAAACATTCTTTCGAATGTATATCATCAATAATATGATAGTACTAACGCTAACACTACTGCTAATACTTAACACAAAATCTATACTAACATCAATATTTACATAGCTATTTATACTCCTACGAATACGAATACGTAAACCCTTGTGCGTTAACAGTAGTGCTATCACCAACACTAATACGGACTTTGATAATCTGCTGCATATTCAAGAATGCCACTAGTATTACCAGCATGAACACTCATATTATGGCTATTACGAGTATAAATAGTCCTACTTCTACTAGTATTGACATTAATACTCCTACGAATACCAATAGTATATTCATATTGATATGAAAACTAATACCATTACTAATAGACACCTGCATATACTCATGTACATAAAATACGTACCACTATCTTAAGATACAGATATATACATCAGTGCATTCATGTATTAATGCTTTGGCATAGGCATATACCCATATACCAATGTATCAATATACTTCTCGTTGTTGTATGAATATACTATACGAATATGTGACTATAATCATATACGGCTACTGCACTATGCAAGAATACCGACATGACAAGTTCGTATACTAATATGCCAACATACTGATATACTTATACATGATTAGATAAAACAGTAATATAGTACACATATTCGTACACTAATATGCTAACGTACGAATATACTGGTATGTCAATATACTAGTAAGCTAATACAGCAGTATAGTAGTGTAGTCATGCACCAGTTGTACTAACATGTAAAATATACTAGTATACAAGTATGCAAATATTTTGCTGTCCGAATACATTGATGTATTGATATACTAATCTGCTAATATACGAGACTATCAATATACTAACATATCAAAACTAACTAGTTCTAATATTGATACTAATACTAGCACTTCTGCGAATATAAGCTGCTGTTAAACCCAGCATTAAGACTGATACTGATACTACTCGTAGCAGTGGTGCTGTATTACTGACATTGACACTGGCACTAGCGCTAACTCTAACACGAACATGAGCACTAACACTAATTTATAGTTGGCAATATTGATACGTATACTTACAGCAAGCAATAGTACTAATATTAATAACAATACTCACCCTAATACCGATACTACCACAAGACTATTACGTAACTCATGTGCCGCACGTCTGGTGCTATACTATATACCTCATGTAACGGTTTTGCTTCACAGAATATCGTTGTGCACGGTGTTTTTTAGACCCGTGGTCTGTCACCGGGGGGGGGGTGAGCATATATATATATGTATATGTATGTATATATATATATATATATATATATATGATATTTTATTTATGCCTGCATGTCAGAAGGGGGGCCTATGACAATGGACCTCTTTGATAGCCCAACGAGGAGTGGCCGGTGCTCGGCGCTCGTTCGTCTTGCGGATGGCGACGCGGACCTCTACATGGGTTCGGAGCTCGGAGAGCGTTGAAGGAGGAGTCTGTCTGGTTTCGGAGCTCAAGTGCCGAGTGGACGACTACAAGTAGAAGTGACAAACCCAGGTCCCTGCAAAGGGGGTAAGCGAACCGCGACGGTACAACGACCTGCAGTGGAGGGTCCATGTGCGCAGTTTCACAGAAGGCGAGAACACATGATGATTGAACAGAACCTGGAAGTCTTACATCCCTGCCGTTGTGGGAGCTGTAAGGCCATGCTACCTGGGACGACTACAGCAAGATGATGCGAATCTTCAAGTGCCCTGGGGTTTTATTTCCGAGTTCGACAGCTCAAGGTCCCGTCTCTGTTGAGTGCTGATGTCATTGCCTTCAGATTATGCTTTTGAGTTGCAAGTCTCGGGCTTTCGGGGGGTACAGGCTTGGGCTTGACGTGCCTGCATGCAGGTTCTACAACTTCTCGCTTCCAGAAGCCGAGACTGCGGCGACCAAAATTTCGTTTTCATCCTACCCGGGTGTCATCACAAGCCGGCGCCCTGGAGCCAGTGGTAAAGGTGCTTTGAAATAACGACGTGCCCCCAAGCCATCCCAAACCACAGGGTCCCGCGACTGTTTCTCCGACCAATGTGCCTGTTCGCGAGCTTCGGCTTCAGGACTTCGAGCATGCTGCATATTGAAGCTGATGCTCGCGAGAGGAAAGCTTGATCACCGAGAGCACATCTACAGTTCCAGCCGACTCGTCAGGAGAGTTAGGACAGCCTCAGCTGTAGCGTTAGGAATGTCGAGCACAATTCCCTTGGATGCGCCCCAGCGGGTGGGCGATCCGACTGCGCTGAGAGCACTACAACAACAGTATGGTGGTGGCAGACAAGTGGATAAAGACGGCAGCCTCTATGCTCATGTCGGCAACAAACCGATCCCTCCGCCCAAGGCACTGCGAAAGATCCATGCACACCGTCAAGAGGAGCGACAGCAGCAAGCGGATGAGCAGGAGGCAGAGGAGTTCGAGAGGAAGATGGGCATGGAGGTCAGGGAGAGCCGTACGGTTTTTGGAGGCGCAGTCACCGCAGTCACCGAGGTTTCGGCAGCGGCCCTAAGGCGCCGTGAAGCTCAGGAGCAGCTCGATGGCTGCACCCTTTCGGAGGCTGCGAGCTGCTACGAGCTTTCGGGCTGTGGTTTGCCGGAGTGCAACGGTCGCTACGACTTTTCCGAAGCCTCGTCCCGGGGTGCACCGGTGTACCAGAACGCTTCGGGTTGGATCCTTCACATGGACAGGGTGCCAGAGCTTGACCAGATTGGGACGGACGACGAGAAGTACCAATTTGGTTGGCTCGTGTCCAAGGATCGGAAGCCCTTCTATGGTGTGCGGACGAATGATGTACAGATCCCCAGCGTTGGCTGGCAATGCTTTTATGGCCCACCACCCGGGCCCGCCGCTCTTCGTGGCACTAGCTGGGAAGAGCACTTCCTGGCCACTGCCGGGTCTTTGAAAGAGGAGGGCAACGTCGCCATGAAGGCTGGTCGCCCCATGGAGGCAGAGCAGCACTATGGCGAGGCCATCAGTCTCATGCTCGGCTACGACGAGGTTGTGGAAGCCTCAAAGGCCCTCCGTGAGCTGCAACTGGCCTTGTTTGCCAATCGTGCAGAGGCACGGCTTCGACAAGAGCTTTGGGAAAAGTCTTTGGAGGACAGCGAGTTTGTTTTGGCCAAGGACCCCCTCCATGCCAAGGCCGCTGTGCGCCTCGCCAAGGCTTGGAAGGGCCTTGGTTCTCTGGGACGTGCAGCCGAAGCGCTGTCCCGGCTTCGGGGCCCACGAGGGGCAGGTGCTGAGCTGGAGGCCTGGTACCAGGAGGCCGAGATCCTCCAGGCTTGCGACGCTTGCGAGGCTCAGAAGGAGCAGACGCCGATGGCACATTCTTTGCTCGGTGTCCACAAGGCTGCGCGGCAGCTGCGGCAGATGGCCACTGAGTGGGGGAGGCCTCCGAGTCGATCTCTGTGTTTATACAAATATACATATCTTCATATTGCTATTTATATGTGTATATGCATATATACATACATATGTGTACACATAGTCATATGATTACATATATATATATACATATATATATATATGTATAGATATACAGAGTCTTCAACATACGTGTGCCTGCCTATCTCTCTCTCACTGTGCAGACTGTGTAGCTTCGAAAGATATTTTGCTTTTGGTCTTACGTATATGTTTGTGTATATGTACATGTACATACTTTCATGCTTACATATTTTCATGTCCCATGTTTATATGCGCATGTTTATGTTGTTTATACGCTTATATGACTTATGTGATTGTGTTTGTGCTTCTGTGTTTTTATGTTCATGATTATCGTCTTAGGTGTTTGTATGTTTACATGTTTGCACGTGGTATATGTGAAAAGGTGTGTGTGTGTGTGCATACATATATGTACTGCATTTGGTGGAGTTGATTCAACATAGGGTTTGGGCTCATAAAGCGGCTCCAACGATCAATGTTTGTCTATGAGAAACGTCATTTGATCATGATCTCCGCCGAACGAGGCAAAAGGATGCGTTCAGTGACGCTCAAGATTTCGAAGCAGAGCAGCAGCTGGCGTCCTTGGCGCAAGTCTTGGCTGGTCAGCTCAGCCGCCTGGAGGCCCAGGTTTCAGAGGACCCCACACTGCGGCAATCTCTGGGCCTCCTGCTGCGGGGCCATGGCATCTTGGACTTGGTGGTCAATGCACTATCAACCTCATCCTCATCGAATGACTCCGACGATGAAGATGGCGATGATGCCTGGCCCCTTGTTGTGCTGCAGGCTATGTGCGCAGTGTCCCCGGAGCTGCCGGGCGAGGGAGAGCTGCGAAAGCTTCTGACATCCATGCCCCAGATGGTGGCGCAGCTCACCCGGCACCCCAAGCTCACGCTGCAGTTGGTGCGGTCATTGCTGAGACACCGCTTGAGACAGCGACTCTTCGTTGCTGACGCGCTAGTGGAGTCCAGAGGCTTTCTGGCCCGCTGCCTGCGTTCCTGGGCTCGGACTTTGGACGATCGACTCGGCAGCGAGGAGCTGAGCCCAGATGATTCGCGGGCTGCGACCTCAGAGGTCCTACAGGAACTGGCGGCACAGACACAGCGGTTGGACAACGCCGAGGCCTTGGCCTTGGCTTTGTTCGTGGAGGGCTTCATTGGCGAGCGCCTGGGCTCCGGGCTTTCTGGAGGCTTCGTCCTACACAGCGGCGCTGCCGTGCGCCGGGTGGTGCTGGCCTTGCTGAGTTCTTGGTCCGAGAACCCCAAGATCTTGCGATCGTTTTCTCCTGAGCTGGTGGGTAAGCTTTGGGCCTCCTGTGCCGCCAAACTGCGAAGAGATGCAGGCGTCGAGACACAGCGAGAGATTCAAACCCCCTCTGGCACTGTGAAGATGGAGTGGTTCAAGCTGAAGCCCACGCAGACCCTAAAAAAGGGATACGGAGCTTTTCATCCAGAGGAGCTGGCGGCGGCCGTGATGCGGTTCCTTGTCGCGCATCTCTTAGCCACGTGCGACCGAGGGTGCGAGGAAATGCCGCGAGAAGGCATCGCACCCAGGGCTCCCGCTGAGGAATGGGCACAGGACGTCCTGGACCGTCCGTTTGGCTGGGGTGTGCTCGTGCCTCTCGTTGTAGCCCCTGCGAACATTGCTGGAGAAGCGTTGCTTCTGTTGGAACTTTTGGTCCAGCGCCATCCTCACAATGACAAGGTCGCGAAACGATTAGCCGGTTTTCATGTTTTTATGCCCCTTCTGCACCTTCCCTGGCCTCAAGCCAGCCCTGTGGAAAGCCACCTAAGAGCAACCTTGTCGGGGCCTTCCCAACGGCGAAGTGCTTGCACCGTGCTGCAGTGTGCCATGGACACGGAACTGGGGATGCGTGTTGCGAGAGACCATACAGACCTCTGCTTCGAGGGTGCCGTCCGTGTCTTGCACGATGTGCTTGGTGACTCCGACCCGCGGTCCACCTTCGCGGCTACGGAGTTGTTTGGACAGCTCTGCAGTCAGTTGGGGTGCTTTGACAAGGTGACGACGGAGACGCTCTTGTGCCTTTTGCAGCACTTCATTCGCAGCGATCACGCAGACACCAGGTCGCAGATGGCGAAACTTCTACGGCTGATGTATGCCAACAAGGCCACCAAGGAGAAGCTGCGCGATGGCCTGAGCAGTGAAGAGCTCGGCCTCTCCGACGAGCAGCAGTCCCGCGTGATGCAGGAGGTCTTCGATGCGCGTACCCTGGCCGGGCAGGTTGTGGGTGAGAACCTCGCCAAGGCCGGGTGCAGCCGACCTATCTTCTCCCATCTTATCCCATCTTCCCATATATCCCAGTCCTGTTAGGTTCAGACAGCCATCCCGAGAGGCCGCCAAAGATGCGGAGTGCCAACCGGTTTCTCCCGCGCCTGGTGTGGCCGAAGGCCTGGCGACTACTTTGCGGCCACTGCTGGGAACTGGAGAGGCCAGGACAGGATGTCCGCAATTTCCGGGTGTTGAAGTCAGGGGCTTTGTCATTCCTCTTAAGGATTTCGAGTACTTCAACACTGGCCAATGTGCTTGCTTCGTGTGTGCATGCAAGTGCTTTAGGTATTTGTGCAATATGGTTGTTGTCTGCACAACACCCCCCTCCAACTGGCCCGCTATGCCGGTCATAGTTCGAGGTGAAGCAGGGAGAAAGGGCTTGGTTGATTGATCGTTCAGGACAAGGACTTTGAGGCATTGCCCTTCTTTGGAAGGGAAATGGCTCACTTCGTGAGTCAAAGTTCGTAGAACCCCATCGCCTGCACCGACGCAACGACCCCGAACCCTGAGATTTTCAACACGCAGAGGCTCCCTCTCTGCGGCTCCTTGTCCTGGGCCGCCTGGCTCGTACAGTGGCGCCGCAGCTTGCGCAGCAGGGCTGCCAGGTGCCTCGTTTTTTGGGCTTTCATGAAGTTTCACGGTCTAGAGGGCTAGAGTTGAATCCCTGGATCCTAAATTATTCCGACACCCTTCATTATCATGACACTTATACAGCCTGTCGAAGGCCTCCTGTGAAACCTTGGCAGTCAATCCCAAGACTCTCATGACGGCATGTTTGAAGTCATTAATGTTCAGGACCATCTGGTTGCAGCAATTCTGTTTGAAAGGGGCTCCGAGTAAAGCTCTGTGTCCCCTGTGGCCACTGCAGCCATGACCTGCCGCTGTTGACATAATCTGGGTGTTGGTTGGTCATCTTAGCAGCCAGCTTACATCGGTATAGGCAGCAACTAAGCTGACTAAGCCGCTCCAGGGTAACGTGCGTGGACAGCAAGCCAAACTGCCAGCATCGTCAGCAGTGGCATAAACTTCGAAAGCTTTCGTCATTTCCGGCCCAAAACTTCGATCTTGGTCAGGTCGTTCTTGGCGAGACGTCTCTCGATCGCTTGAGTGGTGTGGGCAAAGGCCGAGCTCCAGTTTTGTCTGAGAATCCCTGGAAGTATACTGGTTAAAAGCCCCAACTCGGACGCCTCGAAGGCTGAGTAGGTTTGTAAGAACCGAGCGGCAAACAAAGACACTCCCCCCTTCTCTTGAAGCCTTCTCAGTTCTCGGAGCTTGAGAGAAGGCGTCACGACGGTGTTGCTTCCGGTGCCTGAAGCCATCAGCGGCGATCCGTCACCTGTCTGGGGTTGGGTTTCGGGCTTTTCGGCTCAGGGCCTGGCTTTGAAGGGTGTTGAGGTTCACGGATGTTCAGGGGTTGCAGTGGTTTCTGACCCGGCTGGTGGCTTTGGTCCAGTCGTGCGAAAGCTTGCGCGCAAGCTTTGCAGGGCAGGGTTGAAACAAATCACAGAAATCATTGCGATGCTCTGCACGACAGGCATCTGGCATCCCCAGATCTTTTCGATATGCTGCTAGCCGTGGAGCCGTTGGGCTACCTGGACCTCGCCGAGTATGCCGACAAGCTGAGGCCCTACATCCGCAGGAGAGCAACGGAGGAAGATCGGACTCTGAATCAGGTGCAGATGATCTGCGTGGAGCTGCAAGATCGCTTGGAAGACGCACGCGACGAGCTCTACAGTGCAGGCTACTACCTGGCCGACGGTCATCCCTCCCTGCCAAGCCTTCGGAAGGCCCTGGCGTCGAAGGCCAAAGGCGGCCACGGCCCGGGCGGCCCGGGCCCCTGGGACGTCACTCTCTTGCGCTTGCCTTCTGCAGAGAAGGAGCGGAAGAAAGCCAAGGAGACTCAGGAGGCTCAGCAGCGAAAGGTCCAGCGGGAGGCCGAAGAAGTAGAAAAGGCTGAGCAAGAAGAGGAGGAGATGGTCCAGAAAACGGTCCTTCAGACCGCTCTCTTTGACCCTGTGCTGATGATCCCAGAAACGGCGAGCCTGCCAGTGGTGGTGGAGTTAGGGCCCGGCCCGGGTGAAGCGGAGCAGCTGCTTCTGTGGCTCCCTGGCAACCAGGACAACCCCGAGCTCTGGCGCAGCGCGCTCGCGTCGATCTCGATCTCTCTGAAGTCGCTGCGCGTGCTCGTTGTGGGCCGACCGGGAGAGAAGACTTGGCACTCGTGGACAGACCAGGCCATCGTGGCGCAGGGAATGCAGTGGTATGAGATGCACGAGATGCCGACGGAAGAGGCCATCGCGAAGGCGGCCAAGGACCCTGCGACCAACGTTTCTTTTGGAAAGCCCAGTGTTGCAGAGCTGCGCTGTTTGGAACAGGTAGAGGTGGGCTGCAAGCAGCTCTACAACTTATTGGAGAGGGAGCTGCAAGCTTCCGAGAGGGCACCGAAGGTCTGGATTGGGGGCTTCTCCCACGGAGGATCCGTCGCTGCTTACTCGGTCTTATCGAAGACAGCGCCTGCCAAAGTTCAGGCCCAGATGATTGGTGTCATCCTTTGTGGCTGTGCGATACCGGCCTTCCAATTCCTAGCAAGCAAGATGCAGGATCAATGCCTGAAGGCGCGGGATGTCGATCTCGATGCTCCCGTCCCGCAGGTGCAGGTGCTTCACTGCCAGGACGACCCGGAAGTGTCGAAGCACTACGCGCAGACGGTAGTAGACCTGTCTAATCGCTTCGAGTTCCCGGCACAGCTCCTAAGCTTCAAGACGGAGATTAGCGAGCACCTGCCGGGAGGTCCAAGGCCTTTGCCAGGCAGCCCAGAACGCTGGCTGCCACCACTGCTCTCACGCGCCCTCACTGCCGTCCGTGGCTGAACCCCTAGCAGCCACAAGCAGCTGCGCCATCTCTTCAGAGCTAGGAAGAAGCTGCATTGAGTCTTGAACCGTCTTGGTCTCTGACATCTCTGACCCGCCGCCCTTGCACATTTCTTGCCAGCCCACGAGGCACAGATGACTTCTACGAGATGAACAGTGGACGGGGCCCGAGTGCTGCTGCTGCCACCACCATTTCGCCAGTTCTGCTCGTTAAGTTGCAGAAGCACGCGACGAAAGTTAGTCGAGTCAGGCTCGCCCCCAGTGAGTCCGGAACGGGAGAGTCCGGAACAGGCAAACGCCCAGTCAAGCATGTCCAGGAGATTAGTCGGGAATGGCCCCCCGCGCGAGTCGGGTTTAGGGTTTAGGGTTTAGGCTGACTGCGCCTGGCCAACTCCACCTCGTGCCGTTCCTGACTCCTGCTCGTTCTCGTTCCTGACTTGCCCCCCGCCTGTTCTCGACTCGTCCGTCCGACTCTCATCCCCACAGCACTCGACACGATCCCTCCAAAATCTCCCACAGCTTCCTGTTCGTGTACTTCTTCAGGTCTTGTTGCAATGGAGACGTCCTTGGTCATCCTGGACCAGAATGTCTGGGATAAGCCCGGGGCTGGGCATGCAAAGATCGTGGGCATAAACGCAGTACATCACAGTACCGGAGGATTAAGCTCTCGAGCCGTTCTCGGGGCCCAGGGTGCTGGACTTCCCGCGCTTCAAGAGCATCCCGCACCTTGGCGGTCTTGCGTGGGATTTGCGGGGTGTGGGCTTCAAGCAGAAAATTTGGGGGCGTCGGGTGTCCATCCGCAGAGATCGGTTTCCGGGTGCATCAGACAGTCGCAGAGACTTCGCATTCATGTCTTGATGCCTTCTTACAGGAACTTCATGCACCTCATGGCCGTGAATCGCTTGGCCAAGTCCTCCCCAGACTGGGTGCCATCCCCAGCTTCTGGAGCCAGGGCTCCAGGGCTTCCGTAGGTCATGGCAAGCGCCAGCGCCTCCTTCGCAAGTCTCGGAATCAACCTTGAAGCTTTCATCAGGAGACTTTTGTAGCTTGAGCAGAGGTTTTACATGCTTCCTGCTTCATGTTAGAGAGCTCAGGCTCCAAGCTGTAGTGATTGGGAAGGTGCAGCGCTTCTCCCGGACCAACACCGGCACTTTCGCGGCTCAGTGGATGGTTGCAGACTACAACCAGTTCTGCGCTCAAAGCAGAAATCAGCCGTAGCAACGGTGTCCAGTTGGGTCTGATGCCCGTGGTCACCTTGTCAAGGTTCGAGAGCGGCAAGCCAGTGGCAGCCTGAGTTTCCATCTGCAGAGCTGCGACGCTTCTTTCCTCGCACCCGTCCATCGTTCTTAGACTCCAAAATAGTCCCCAAAACTCCGCCTGCTCCGCCTGCAGTTGCCCGATGGCATGTTCTGGGTGGTGGAGATGATCCCCGGAGCCTCGGAGATGCAGGCGGGGTGCAGCAGTTTCAGGTGGGTCACGCCGGCATGAAGCCGGAGATGTGCCTTCCGATGTCAACCCGTTCTCAGGACATGAGCGCACATCTGCGCGAGCACAGGCCTGTCGTCGAAAGCCTGTGGCCATCATCAAATGTTCCTTATGTTTCTTGAGAGACGGCCATGATCGTCACATGATCAGATACAGTGTTGTTAGTCACTGTCCTGGAGGGGTTTGTGTGCATGACAATCACAGGCCCCTTGATAGGATCAGGGTGCAGCATGCGGGTCCAACATGCTGGGATTCGGCATTTGCTCTTAGCTTTTGGTGTCTTCGGTCCTTCGGTCTTGGATTCGTGCTTCCAGATGATGCTCCGTTGCTACGAGTCGGCAACCGGTGTAGACAGAAAGTTTGGACAGGTATTGGGCATCCTTCAATCGCCCCTTCTTCGGCAAGACCCGCGAGCTGTCCGGCCAGGAGCCCAAGAACAACCTTGCGTCTGCCCTAAACCCAAACCGGGCCGCAAACCCTGCTTATGGTACGGCTTAGGCTTCAGCATGGCCGAGAGGACGCACGGCTCTCTTTACTCCTACCAGGTCGGGCTGTTCTGCGAAAAGTCCTTTAGTAACAGCAAGAGATTTGCAACCGTGTGTGTCCGTGCGTACTTGTGCTTGCGAACCGTGCCAGGGCAACCCCCGTGCCTACGCATTCAGCATGGTGGCACCGGCGATCAATGCAGCTTGACTGGCTTCGAAAGACGAGATGTTAGGTGGAAGCTGGATTTTGCATTCCTTCTAGGTTTGCCTGTGCAACTCTGATGGGCTGTCGCATGGGGCAGGTGAAGGTAATCTCGAGCCGAGTTGCAAGTGCTGCTGATTGCCAGGCTTTGCCAGAGATGAGGGATGTCATGACCCAGAATGCGTGCCTTGGCTTCTGTGGCGTGGCTTTCAACAAGCAGTTTCCTGATCGACACAAGGTATCCTTACGGGAGCCCCCCGAATGATCCTGGGCACCAGATTTCCGCACGTGGCGGCCCTGGCTGAGAGCCGTGGCTTTGCGTGGGGATGCTAAGATTGCCGCTGTCTTTGGCAGGGATGGACCTGAGCCCTATCCTGAAGTTGCCGAATGGAGGCATCGATGCGAAGGCCTGTGGCTGCCGAGGGCTACAGCGCTTGGTGAACCCGCGTGCACTCCTAGGAGTGCAGGGAGGATAGTGGTGTAGCATTGGCGTAGAGCAGCGTTTCAGTCAATAAAGCCTGGGACACAGGCCCAAGTCACTTCAAACCCACATCAATTGTTGTAGAACTGCGCATCGGACATACCGGCATACGTATACACGATCGAGGTCAACAGCATTGCCGTGCACAAGTTTGGCTCGAGCATACGCCCCGTCTCATCAGATCCCCTGACCTCGAACCATGGCTTTGCGTGCAGCCATCGTTGCACTTGTCTCGGCCGTGGCAACTGCCGAGAAGTATGCCGTCATTGCGGCTGGCTCGTCAGGATTCATGAACTACCGCCACCAAGCGGATGCTTGCCATGCCTACCAGCTCATGCTGCAGAGTGGTGTGCCAGCAGACAACATCATCCTGATGATGCAGGACGATGTAGCGAACAGCTCGGAGAACCCGTTCCCCGGCCAGCTGTTCAACAAGCCGGGGGAGAACCCGCCTGATGTCTACAAGGGCTGCAAAGTCGACTACTCTGGGGACATTGTGACTGGAAAGCTGTTCATGGACGTCCTGACCGGAAACACGGAGGGTGCCAAGGGCAAGGTGCTGAAGAGTGGAGCCAGTGACACTGTGTTCGTGAACTTTGTGGACCATGGCGGTCCCGGCATCATCGCCTTCCCCAACGGCCCAGTGCTCACGGTCAAGGAGCTCTCCCAGACGCTGAAGACCATGCAGAGCAAGCAGATGTTCAAGCAGATGGTCTTCTACATGGAAGCCTGCGAGAGCGGCTCCATGTTCCCAGACCTCAAGGCGAACGGGACTTGTAAACTCCTGTAGACACTTGCAAAACCATCAGAATCTGAAAGCCCGCATAATCTCTCAATGGACCTTCTTCTGTGCGCGGCATCACAGCTTCACTTCATTGTCATCCCATCACCATCATCATCATCATCACGTGTAGGATACGGCATCCTGGCGTCACAACATCAAATCAAATCAAACCAGGCAGACAGCAAGATCCTTGCGGTTACCGCTTCAAACGCAGACGAGTCTTCCTGGGGAACATATTGCGGCGATTCTGCCATGGTGAAGGGCAAGAATGTCGGTTCCTGCTTGGGTGACCTGTTCTCCGTGAACTGGATGCAGGACGACGACCTTGGCAAGTTCAAGTCCGAAACCTTCCGTAGCCAAATTTCAAAGGTCACGAAGGAAACCGATAAGAGCCATGTTTGCAGTTTCGGCGACAAGTCGTTTGAGGATGAGAAGATTGGCAACGTGGAGACCACAAGCCTTTCCGTGAGCCCAGCGGATGCAGCACAGGGGGCCGTGGATGCACGTGACATCTATGTTACTCAGGCTATGTGGGCCTGGCAGCATGCTGCAGACGGGGATGCGAAGCAGAAGGCTTGGAAGCGCTTGGTTGGTATCATGAAAGACCAGGAGGCCGATGAGGCCCTCTTTGCCGGCATGGCTGCTGCAGCCTGCGCGGACGTGAACCCGGAGCACCTGATCCAATGCCAGAAGAAGATTCTCAGCGAGCGCCTGGAGATGACCCGGATGGACTGCCACCATGAGCTGGCACATGCCGTGCATGAGAAATGCCCGGCATCGGAGTACCACAACTCCGCAGGGGGATGGAACGGCTTCAACATGAAGTTTGCCAGGGTGCTCTTGAATCTTTGTGAAAGCCAAGGAGTCCTCGGAAAGTCAACAACACAGCTTGTGGACCTTGTCCACGAGCGCTGTGCAAAGGCTGCGTTTGGTCGTTCCGAGACGCAGATCGTCGTGTAGAGGGTCTCGTGATGCGCCGTTTCGATTTTGGGCCTATATTTATTTAGTGTCTAGGTAATTTGCAGCTGCCGCTGCTTGGCCTTCCGGGAAGAAATCCTTCCTTCGGCGGGCTGCCCAAGGCTTCAATTGCAGGCCCAATCTCCAAGTTCCAGCAGAGCTGGGTGAACCTGTGTGCACTTGGCACCGACCACCCACCCTGAGTCAAAGTGTAGGGTATCCGCCGGCAGAGCTGTGTGGCTTTAGGCACAACAGCAACAAGTTGAACAAGCCACTTCAAACTTCAAGCCCATATCAGTTGTTGTAGGACTGCATTGAGCAATCCCTGTCCGAGACTTCAACATTGTCGTGCACAAGTTTGGCTCGAGCATACGCCCCGTCTCATCAGATCCCCTGACCTCGAACCATGGCTTTGCGTGCAGCCATCGTTGCACTTGTCTCGGCCGTGGCAACTGCCGAGAAGTATGCCGTCATTGCGGCTGGCTCGTCAGGATTCATGAACTACCGCCACCAAGCGGATGCTTGCCATGCCTACCAGCTCATGCTGCAGAGTGGTGTGCCAGCAGACAACATCATCCTGATGATGCAGGACGATGTAGCGAACAGCTCGGAGAACCCGTTCCCCGGCCAGCTGTTCAACAAGCCGGGGGAGAACCCGCCTGATGTCTACAAGGGCTGCAAAGTCGACTACTCTGGGGACATTGTGACTGGAAAGCTGTTCATGGACGTCCTGACCGGAAACACGGAGGGTGCCAAGGGCAAGGTGCTGAAGAGTGGAGCCAGTGACACTGTGTTCGTGAACTTTGTGGACCATGGCGGTCCCGGCATCATCGCCTTCCCCAACGGCCCAGTGCTCACGGTCAAGGAGCTCTCCCAGACGCTGAAGACCATGCAGAGCAAGCAGATGTTCAAGCAGATGGTCTTCTACATGGAAGCCTGCGAGAGCGGCTCCATGTTCCCAGACCTCAAGGCGAACGGGACTTGTAAACTCCTGTAGACACTTGCAAAACCATCAGAATCTGAAAGCCCGCATAATCTCTCGTTGGACCTTCTTCTGTGCGCGGCATCACAGCTTCACTTCATTGTCATCCCATCACCATCATCATCATCATCACGTGTAGGATACGGCATCCTGGCGTCACAACATCAAATCAAAAAACCAGGCAGACAGCAAGATCCTTGCGGTTACCGCTTCAAACGCAGACGAGTCTTCCTGGGGAACATATTGCGGCGATTCTGCCATGGTGAAGGGCAAGAATGTCGGTTCCTGCTTGGGTGACCTGTTCTCCGTGAACTGGATGCAGGACGACGACCTTGGCAAGTTCAAGTCCGAAACCTTCCGTAGCCAAATTTCAAAGGTCACGAAGGAAACCGATAAGAGCCATGTTTGCAGTTTCGGCGACAAGTCGTTTGAGGATGAGAAGATTGGCAACGTGGAGACCACAAGCCTTTCCGTGAGCCCAGCGGATGCAGCACAGGGGGCCGTGGATGCACGTGACATCTATGTTACTCAGGCTATGTGGGCCTGGCAGACGGGGATGCGAAGCAGAAGGCTTGGAAGCGCTTGGTTGGTATCATGAAAGACCAGGAGGCCGATGAGGCCCTCTTTGCCGGCATGGCTGCTGCAGCCTGCGCGGACGTGAACCCGGAGCACCTGATCCAATGCCAGAAGAAGATTCTCAGCGAGCGCCTGGAGATGACCCGGATGGACTGCCACCATGAGCTGGCACATGCCGTGCATGAGAAATGCCCGGCATCGGAGTACCACAACTCCGCAGGGGGATGGAACGGCTTCAACATGAAGTTTGCCAGGGTGCTCTTGAATCTTTGTGAAAGCCAAGGAGTCCTCGGAAAGTCGACAACACAGCTTGTGGACCTTGTCCACGAGCGCTGCGCAAAGGCTGCGCTTGGTCGTGCCGAGACGCAGATCGTCGTGTAGAGGGCCTCGCGATGCGTCGTGCCGATTTTGGGCCTATATTTATTTAGTGTCTAGGTAATTTGCAGCTGCCGCTGCTTGGCCTTCCGGGAAGAAATCCTTCCTTCGGCGGGCTGCCCAAGGCTTCAATTGCAGGCCCAATCTCCAAGTTCCAGCAGAGCTGGGTGAACCTGTGTGCACTTGGCACCGACCACCCACCCTGAGTCAAAGTGCAGCGTCTCCATAGAAGCAGCCATTTCAAGCCCGCATGAGCAGTTTGTCCGTGCTTCCCCCAAACCGCAACAGGTGGTGAACCGCTGCTTGCTGAAGAAGCTCCAGGCCCAGGCCATCAGTGGCCCGAGCCGAATGCCCAGGATGCCTCATGAGCAGTTAATTTCCTAAGGTTCGTTGGAACTCCTATCGGATCTTCCGTTCTTGAGTCTTTGCCCAGATGCTTGCCGGATGTGGCCGAGGCCACCAAAGGCACGAACCTTTCCGGTGGAAGGCCGAGGATGGTGACTGTGGCTATGATTAGTGTGTGTTTGGATGAGTGTGTGTGTACATATACATATATAGATATCCATACATACATCTGTGCATACATATACACGTACATGTGTACATACATACACAGAACGTCATGCGACCCATACACTCCACTACACTCCACTACACTCCACTACACTCCACTACACTCCACTGCGTTGCACTGCGTTGCACTGCGTTGCACTGCGTTGCACTGCGTTGCACTGCGTTGCACTGCGTTGCACTGCGTTGCATTGCACATCATTACATACGCACATACCATGCCGTGCCATGCTTACATGCGTAAAGATAGACTTCCATCCATAGTTATACATGCATGCATGTATGCGTGTATATATGCAGGCATGTATGTACAAGTGTATGTATGTATGTATGTATGTATGTATGTAGTTATGTATGTATGTATGTATGTATGTATGTATGTGTGTATGTACGTATGTATGTATGTACGTATACGTATGTATGTTTGTATATATGTATATATACACATAGATATACACATGGGGTGAGGGAGACTGCCATCGGAATCCTACGCAGTCTGGAAGCTTTAGCAAATTCTGACATGGAGTGCATGTGCGCCAACATAGAGGGCATTGACCCGATTAACGGATTAACGGCGTTTGATTTTAAGGGACACGGAAGCTGAAACTAGCTAGCAAACTCAAGCCGCATGCATGTGTCTCGACCCCAGCGCATGGTCGCTCAAGGTACGGAGCTTTGGCCACAGTACCCTCATTTCGGCCTGCCCAACCTCTGGAACTTCGGATATGCAGCTCGGTCTGCGTTTGGCATTTTCGTGGTGGTGGACTGCAGGGCAGCCGCGTCGTTTAGAGCCATACGGGCTGGCCACGAGTTCCTCGACCGGTGTCTCAATACTCTACAGATCCGACTAATCGTCGCTCGCAACTCCTTTCGCCACGAGTAGACTTTACAGGGGAAGAGGAGTTGAGGATGAGACGCTGTCATGATTCTCACTGTTGATTGGTTTTTGAGCATGAAGGTGTTAGTTACTCCTGATCGGAAAGGTGCAGCTTGCCCAGTTTGGGCAGATGGCCATCACGGACGAGAGTGACTGCTGATACTCACGGTTTGGAACTCCCGTGGGTTCTCTGAGGAGAGCTCGAAAAGCTAGTGCTTGGACTTGTCCTGTGCACACGCTCGGCGGTTACGAAAGTGTTTGATTGTAATTTGCTGTAAAGTGTTCCTAGGTTCAGGCCATCAAGATGCAGTGATTGAGTTTCACATTGGCAGGCGAGAGCGAATGCTGTCGCAAAACTTGAAAGCAAGGGCAGGATGTTGATGATTTGCACAGTCTTTGGGCTGCTGTGTGGAGCCGCGCAGGTTATCCAGGTGGCGGAGGGAAAAAGGACATCAAAATGGCCCCATGTCCGGACAACGGATGGCAGTCCGCACCTTAGAGCGGAGCAGTTGGGATGGGACACCCAGTCGCCATCAAGGAGTCTTTGTTTTTGCTACCAGGTACATCGATCCGTCCGGAAACATTCAAGGGCCATTTCCTATCGAGAAGATGAGGCCCTTTTGGCAGTTCTGGCTTAGATCATGTGTGGCGTCTGCCTGTCAGTGGGTGAGCTCTTCTACATTTTGAGCAGACTGGCTGCGGCTGCAAGATATTGATTTTGGAGTAGTGCGGCAGCTTTCCATCAAACTGAAACTCTTTGACTGATCGCAGCATTGAGCAGGGTGTGGCACCGGCATAACTTTTTCTATGCCGAGCTGCTGATGCGATCGGATCCAGTGGTGCGCGGCTTTCACTGGGCTCAGTGTTTGAATTCTACGCTTCTGAGCCCTAAGGCGGATACAACAATGAACAATGCATGCATGTAGGTAGGGTAGGTGGGGTTTGGAAAGCATCGTCGAAGATGTGCACGCTTCGGGAGTCTTTGGAGTGCAATGCTGGAGTGCGTGCTGTAAGTGATGCATTCCCTTGCAACATGCCGCTGTTCCCCATGTGTGTTCTGAGAGATTAGCCTCCAAAGACAGCGTTGGTCGCCTCAGCCGACTCCTCTGTGTCAACCAAGCGCATATGATGCAGGACGCCTTCTTACCTTTCGGTCAGCTCTTCCCAGTGGGGGAGGAGCTTCGTTGCGAAGTGGAAAAGATTTCTATCCATCCGGAGTTTCGCTTCGACTCGGCATACAGTATGACTTTGCCAGCACAACCGGAAGATGGCTTGTGTGCGCCAGCACCCCATTCTTACGTCCCTGGTCAGGAGCCATTCCGTGGTCGAGTGCTGCGGTGCGCGCCAGCCGGGGTTGTGGTTTGCCGTTTCGGTTCCAGGCCCTTTTTGGATGCCGATTTTCCATGCAAGATGTTCCCTATATGACTTGGATTCTCATGTGAGAGGACTCCCGAGCCCTTTGGAAAACAAGAAACTTCCTATCGAATACCTGGAACCCGCACGACTTGAACCGGAGCCCCGCAACACCGCTTCAGCGCAGGTGCAGGCAGAATGCGAAGAACGGGTTCCCTGCTGCCTTCCGACATGTGCAGTAGGTTTTCGCCCGACGAACCACGGACCCTCCTGAAACTTAGGGTGAGTAGCAGTATTCTGGGTTCTTAGGATATCGGCATCTGCAGCCTAGTCATGTTTCAGGCCTTCTCGGGATGAAAAATGTTTCGGGAACTCCTGGAGTATAACAATTGACCCTGTAATTCTTGGAGCTTCAGTCTCGAGGGTAAGTGAAACATCCACTCCAAGCACTCCCATCCTGTGTGTTCTTGGGCCCACGGACTGGAATGCCGCATCTTCAAGAGCGTCGCAGGAACAGTTTCGGTTGCTGTTAGGGGCAGCTTGGCCAACGGCCAGCCCTGCATCACTTTGCAGAAGTCATACTTAACGTACGTACACACACCGCATACGTTCGTACATGCGTACATACAAATTCGCACATGAGTTGGACGCCTTGCATGTGTATGTGTGTGTATATACTTAGGTATATGTGTATATGTAAAGGTATCTTTACATTATATATGTACACACGTACACATACATATCTAGTTCTGCGATATGCAGGCCTCCATGACTCCATGGCGTCATTTTGTACATATGTATGTATGTATGTCGATAGGTAGGTAGACCGAAATGTTCAAGATCCGTCCATGCATTGCTCATCGTTAAGCAAACGAGCAAGCAAGCACACGAACAGACAAACATACAAACACACAGCCACAAACACAACCAAACGGACAGATACCTAGACAGACAGGCCGACCCACAGACAGCAGACAGTCCAACAAACAGACAACAATGCAGATAGCCACGCAAATAGGAAAAGAGAGACAATGTTTAAGAGATCGACAGATGAAGAGACAGAGAGGGACAGAGAGACAGAGAGACAGAGACGCAGAGACACGGAGACACAGAGAAGCAAGCAAGCGAACATGCAAGCAAGCACACGAGCAAACAAGCACACACACACACACACACACACATGCAAAAGAAGACAAACAGACGCCGCCTTTGACGCTATGTCCACATGTCTGCTGTGAATGTGCCGCAGTCGTGAATGTCTACTCGTCTACTCAAGCGGCTGTTGAATCGCTGCAACCCCAACGCAGCTCCAAGTGAAACAAATTTCAATGTTCAGGGTTGATATGAAATTGAACCCTTTGATGGTTTCCAGAGCGTTGACAAACGAACAACCAAGGAAGCAAGCAAGTAAAACAACACGCAAACACGTAAACACATGATAGAGAGAGCGAAAATGGAACATGCATATGTATGTTTGAGGCAGATTGGCAGGCAGGTAGATACGTTATGCTTGGTTCATAGCCAGAATAGTAGTACTATATACTATATCTTACAAGCATATGGATATGACGTTAGTCTTCGGTTCTTCCGTTGTCCTAGTTAGTTTAGCTAGGAGTGCCATGCCAGCACGGGGTTCTTCTCAGTTTTGTTCTGCCTCTTATAATCTGCACGCCGAGCTGTTCGTTGCACTTCGTTTGCGGCGATTGGACGATTGGACGTGACCTTACATCTACTCACAATTGTCCACTAAACAGCAACCGCGAGCTGTTTGAGCGGCTGTTTTGGAAGCTGGGGGTCTAGAGTGGGCCCGCCCGCTTTCTTTCGTGGTTTTCTGATAGCTTTGAAATACGCAATGACCTATCAGAATGTCTTCAGCGGGCCTCTCTCAACCTCCGTTCCGGAGAGACCCGGCGACAAGCCACCCGGCTTTGTTAAATCGCAGACCTCGGGATGAGGGAAGCTTGGCGCCGACTCAAAGGTCTCTCGCTGGGCCGGAGGCTTTGGGAATGGCAGCGGGGATTCGACCGTCTGGGCTTCAAGCATGGGTGTCGGGCCAAACTGTGTTCCTCTTTGCAGCGATTTGTGGTGGTAAACACAATTAGCTGCGGCCCTTCTCCATCATAGCTTGGATGTTGCGAATGCTACTCGAAAAAGCCTGCAAGAGCTGAGACGCCTAGGTGCAGGTTCTGTAGAGCATCCCAGCTCCGGAAGAAGCCCCGTCTGTCATGCTGGAGCACGGAATCGGCAGGATCGGCGCCGCTGCCCCCTACACTGCAGTCCACCGGAAGCCCGATTTTCCCCTGAAGTGCCCAGAAGGCTCTCTCTTCCTGTTTATTGGTGAGACTTCAGGATGGGTGTAGCCTCGCTCCCCTTGCTTTTCCCTGGATCCAGCGTGTCGCAAGATCTCCAGGCGGGCATCTTACTATAAACATCGGCCGAAGTGGCCTCCCACCGACATTGGCTATGCTCCACAACCAGGATGCCTGTAAGACTTGTGGTTCTGAGCTAGATCCCTACATATGTCGATCCCTCGCATGGTAAACATGGTGGTGCCTGGACATGTTGCAAGCAGGGTGGTACGGCTGTGATCAAGAAGTGGTGCAGGAGTGCAGCCTGGGCATGGCAGCGAGGACTTGAATGTACATATACCGTAGAAATAAGAAAAAAAAAAAAAAAGTAATAGTCTATAAAGACTATGTGCACATATATGTATATACACACTTGTATGTGAGATCACAGAGATATCGCTATGCATATATGTTTTTTAATAGACAGGGGTCCGGTCTAGGATTGGATGGGTGGGCCTCGTTCAATCAATATGTCCGGACCTTGAGCCAGTACCATCTCACCTAGGTTTGTCGTGAGCCGCAACCAAGCAGAACTAGATCTTGATTCCATGATGCATCGGAACATGTTTCCAAGCACTGGAATCGTAGAGAATCTCTGGCGCCGTGGCTCAGACGCCTCCGCACCCGTCAAGCAGGCCGTAGGTCAATGCTGAGCTCGGACGTCTTTCTTAGTTAATCTTTCTGAATTTGGCATCAAGCTGCGAGGAGCCTGCAGCGAATTCAGTTTTGCCTGATTGAGACCTGAGCTCAGTGTAGGTGGTAGTACGGGCGCCATCTTTTCAATCTGTCGCTGCTGTTGTGAACGGTGCCTTCTTGAGATGCCCGTGAATACCCGTGAACTGACACCACGAAAGCTCATGCAGCTGAAGCAAGTGGGCATTTGTCCGGTATCTGATCACCTTGGTGGATCGTTCGATGAGACCATTTAGACAGTTTGCACACCTGGTTGCTGCCTAAAGGCCGAGAGCTGAGAACAGGTAGCCCAAGCCCTTAACCCTAACCCCTCAGCCCTACAACAAAAACGTTGGCAGCTGTTCTTGCAGTTGCTGGCGCCCGGACGGCTTTCGTAGCCGGCTCGCACTCTCCGACTTGATACGGTTTTTCGTAGGACAAGGCGATGACGCCAGGACGACTACTGATACCACCACTGGGATGATGACCAAACTTGTGCCAATTGCTGCTGCTGCGGAGTGCTACTCGCCCATTTTTTCGTTTTCATCACCATCATCCTCGTTGTAGTATTAGTATGTCGGTACATTCAATCGCACTTCTTGTTTTTGATTCGTATTGTTGTATATTGCCACTACTACGCCCCTAATACATGCGCGAGTACGACTAGTACCCGAAGTACGAGTACGAGTAAACATCGTTGCAGTGGTGCTGGCGAGAAAGCGAAGCTATTCACACCGGCACTCAGAGTTCTCAGAACACTGGCAGCATAAAGAAGCTAGGTAGTTTG